CGACCCTCAGAAGTTTGGGGACCGTTGGACTAAGAAGTCAGAAATCGCTACACCTCTATCAGCTGTGGAGGTGAGAGGAGAGTTAATTGGAGGCTGACATTTTAATACATAAACACCACCTGAGGTAAACCTGACAGTTATAATCTACTTATTTACCATGTTCTTCTAGCCTTGGCCCTTCTTGTGCCTGTTCATTTGCTACTGTCTCTTTACTGCAGTGTTACTGAGCACTAAAATAAAAATTGCAGACTATGTAGGCATTAGGTGGCTGGTTTTCAGAGATGCTGAACATCAATTAAAGTTAATGAGAGCTGCAGGTGCTTAGCACCCTGAAAATTAGGACCCAGATAATTTACCATTGTGCAGATGAAAGAAAAATAAACTATATAGTGTTGTGAGTTGGGAAAAACATTATTGATGCTGGTGGGTGGAACCGCTGTCTTTCATTTAAAATAGAAACCGTTAATCTCCTTTATGGCAGTCCCCACTTAAAACAAAGGCATATGCAAGTCCACACAGGATTTGAGCTAACTGGGCGGAGGGCTTCACTGGGTATTGTTTTGGCTAAGTTTGTGGGGGAGAAGGAGAAGCACACCTGGGAACATACAGAGAAAGAAGCAACACACACAGGCTGCCCTAAACAAGCACACTATGGTGCTGGCTAAAAGAGGTTTGGGGCTGCAAGAAAAGAGGTTACCTCCTCTATAGGGAGGAGAGAATATATTCATAAACTATTCCACCCTCAGGCAGTTTTTTCGTTTTTTTTTTTTTTTTTTTTTGGAAGTGCCTCACATGGATTTGCCCCATTCTTCTTTAAAAATGTAGGCAAGGTATCTTTAATCTAACTTTCAACCTAGTTAAGTGGAAAGAGAGTTAATATGAGTTTTAAGTGCAACCATTGTCTGTGTGGCAACAGCCTAGTTAATTACCCCAGAGCCCTCTTAGGCCCTGCTATTTGAGTCCCTCCAAGTCATTATGTCAAGCTTTCTGGACTGGCTCAAGAGCATGAGTGCCATCCTCAGGGCAGACTGTCAAGAAGCAGGGCACGCACCCCAAACTGGTTGTGAGTTCTATACTTAGACTTCACCAACCAAGTATTAAATGTAAACTCTTCAGGCACTATAGCAGCCTAACTGTGGAGTCACAGACAGTCCCCTTAGCTTGCCTTTCTGATAGATGGTCCCTTACTCCAAAAATCACAATATTCAGGTTACTCCCAATCCCAAAAGACCAGTCATTTACCCCGAGGGTGACCACATTTCCCAAAGGGAAAACGTGACACTGCGTGGGACTAACCTGAGCCCTTCCACCCTCCCCATGTGGGGCTGGCCCTAGCCGCTTGTCCGAGTCTTGCCCTCCGCGCAGGGCTGGCTACGCTGCTTGCCCAAGGCCTGCCTGACCCTGCTCGTGCAAGGCTAAGGTTGGCGTCACTGCTTACCCATGCCTTGCCTGCTCCCCACCCGAGCACTGCCTCCCCTGCTCTGTGGGGCTGACATTACTGCTCACTCCCCACACATTCCTCCGCACCCCACTTTTTTGATAAAAGTGGGCATTTGTCTTCTTTGCTCCTCCCAACTGATCAAGTTGGCAAGAGCAAATGGGACAAATGCCCATTTTTGCCAAAAAAAGTCGGGACGGCCAGGACAGAGGTTAAAAAAAGGACTGTCCTGGCCAAAACGGGGACGGATGGTCAGCCTACTTACCACAGGTCAGTTGCACTGTAGATCTTATACTAAAGACAACACTTGCAGGCAATCTTATAATAAACTGACTAAAGAATTGTTAAATAAGACAAAAAAATTATAGCTATTTGCAAAGATAAAACAATTAACATACACACACAAATGAGTTATTGTCTTTGGCTCCAAAAGATAATAGAAGCTGCTGTAATATGCAAGCTCTGTTTGCTATGGCTAACCCAGGCAAAGCAGATGGGGATCCCTTCCTTATGCTTAGAAATCTTGCCCTCCCAAAGTCCAAGCAGCATAGAGATCCAGTTTCTTCTTATCAGGGATTTTTATTCCCTTCCTCCCAGACAAAGGCACAGGCTTCTTCCAGGCCTACGGGGTGCTCAACTCCCCACTAAACCCCAGGCCCCACCTCCACCTGACCCCTTTCCCCAAGTCCCACCCCCACCCTGCCTCTTCCCGCCCCAAGCCCCCACCCCCGTCCCTTCCTGCCCAGTTCTGCCCCTCCCCCGAGCATGCCCCTTCCCCGCTCCTCCCTCTCCCTCCCCAGCTTCTCCTGCACACCATGGAACAGCTGATCGTGGTGGGCGGGAGGCGCTGGGAGGGAGGGGGAAGTGTTGATCGGTGGAGCCACCAGTGGGCAGGAGGGGGAAGGTGGCTGCTGGTGAGTGCTAAGCACCCACTAATTTTTTAGTTGACCCCTATGCTCCCAGAGTTCAAACTCATGGCAAGAGTTCGTATGCAGGTCTCCTCTTCATGGGGGTGGGGATGGGGAGGTACAAGAATGCAAAGTCTTTGTTCTTTGATGTTTCACAATGGCTTACTTCAGGGGTTCTCAAATTGGAGGTCGGGACCCCTCAGAGGGTCACTTGTGGGGTCGCAAGCTGTCAGCCTCCACCCCAAACCCCACTTTGCCTCCAGCATTTATAGTTGTGTTAAATATATAAAAAAGGGTTTTTAATTTATTGGAGGGGTCGCCCTGAGAGGCTTGCTATGTGAAAGGGGTCACCAGTACAAAAGTTTGAGAACCACTGGCTTATTTGGTGGGCAGGACCTAACACCTTCTGTAGAAAGCCAGCATTTTACATTAATTAATGCTTCTTTCCTGTTTGGTGAGTTACACAGTTACAGTGGGTTACAATGCAAGCACTCAATATAACGTTATAAAATGGAATACAAATATTATAAGTGAGATTAATACATGCAGCATCCTACAAGCATTTCGTAAAGTCTATACATTTGTCAGTGTTCATTTGAGACCTAGGGGCCTTGGCATGAACTGGCACCTGGTCTGCCAGCATCACACATTTCTAAAAAGATTATTCCCTATATGGCCCAGCATTGAAGATGGAGCTGAATGCAGCACATGAACAAAAGGATAGAGAAAAACTTAGCATGGTTTTGTACAATCAAATACCCCAACACATTTTACAAGAGCTAAACATCGATCAGCCCCAACATTCTTGAAAAGTGTTTTTCTGTTTCTTCATCCTTATATATTGTTAAGATGTTGTTGCATCTTGACTCATACATTAAAGACAAACTTTCATTCAATTGTAAAATTATGAGGAGCATTTGATTTGCCAGGCAAATACTTTACTAGCCTGCCCTAACCATGATGGGGAAAAAAAAAACCCAACAGATATTTTACTTGGATGTAAAAAAACAAAAAGTTACCAGGAAAGTAGAATTTTGCAAGGCTACAATGAAGTCTACAACTATCTACTAGTCATTTTTAGTGTGCTCACTACTATTTAGTCACTGAATACAGAAAACTCTTAGAAAGCTAGAATTCCTATAAAACTGGTGTAATAGCTGTCAAGGAGCACACCACCACATCTGAGTCTCTGTTAGCTATGGTTCTGTGGATTATTCTAGTGGGAAAATGCCGAGGAGAAAGTTTGATTAGGAAGAGTCAAGCACACTGACTGATCTGGTACTGCTGGAGCCAATTTATCATTTCATTCTCAGTGATTCTACCAAGAAAGGGAAGATTATAGAAAAACGGTTCAGGAGATTTTCCTCTAGTTAATATTACTTCATGTCAATGAGAGTTTTGTTTGAACAAAAATTAGAGGATTGGGGTCAGATTCACAAAGGCTCTTAGGCACTATCTGCCTCTTTAGTCACCTAAATCTACCATTTAGACATCACTGACATTCTCAATACCACTGCTCAACTGCCACCTAATCCGATAGGCACCTAAATCTCTATGGCACCTAAATTTATGACAGTGGGCATGCACAAAACCACCTATGTCCTGACACCACCTCACTGCTATTGAGCATCTTGGAACCCTAGTGCAAGAGAAAGCTTTGGTAGCCCAAAGCAAGATTCTCAAACTAGACCTTCCTCTGCCCATGTTGCCCAATCCTGTAGGTGCGGGCCCCGCACATACAAAAAAGCCAGCAAGAGAGAAAGTGTCTCCCAGAATACCCAATAGCCCAATGGTGAGGGCACTCACCAGGGATGTGGAAGATGCAGGTTTAAATCCCCACTCTGCCCAATTTGGAGCACAGATTTGAATTTCATTCTCTGACATCCCAGGTGAGTGCCCTAACAACTGGGTGATAGAGTCAGTCTCTCGCTCTAGCCCAGTGAATACCAAATTATTTATACAAAGTGAAAAAGCTTCATCAGAAGAGCTGGAGAGCAGCTCAGCCCAGAATACCCAATAGCCTGGTAGTTAGGGCACTCACCTGGGCCAGCTTGATTCAAATTCCTGCTCCAAATCAGGCAAAGGAAGGATTTGAATCTGAGTCTCCCAGATCAGTGCCCTAACCACTGGACTATCATGGAACAGCGGCATCTCTCTCTTTCATTTTTCGTGAAAAAGGGCTGATCTGGCTTAGTTGCCCAATTCCAAAGATCATGGCTGAGAATCCAGGGTAGAGGGAGGTGCTTCAGTCCAGAACCTAAGGCCCTTATCAATGGGAGTTAGGGACCTAAATACCTCTGAGAATCTGGACCTACACCCTCTCTCTTCCCTCTGCATTTCACTTCTGGCTAATTTAGATGGCTCAGCTTGCTGGCTTCTGAAAATCTCTTTCTTTGGCACCTAACTCTCCCCATACAACACCTGACATCAGGCAGACATCTAACTCAGAGCTGAGAATTCCACTCGGCAACAAAGCACCCAGGCATAATGTTGCAACACCTAAGTCCCTTTGTGAATCTAGCTCTTGATCTCTCTAACTCATAACAGTTATTCTTCTTACAATATAATCAAAGTTCAAAGACCAGGCTCTTAAGGGTAGTGTTATGATGTGCACTCAGGGTATTAAAACATTAAAGGATTCCAAAAACGCACACTTCCATAGAAATGCCAGTTTAATTCAGAATTTACAGCCAAGCCTGGATTCTACTTTTTTTAAATTGGATGTTTCAGGCTTTTTATAATCATTATCACTTAATGCCATTTAGCTGCTCCTAACAGAAACCATGAAGTATAACAACAGCTCTTTGAATCAATGGACATAGAATTCAGCTTACTATACATTACTTCAGAAATCTATTTGGATTTTTAAAAAAACATGTACTACACTTTAGTATATCTCCTTTTAAACTTCATTTAGGTTTCATCAACTGCTCTGGTTAAGTTCACTTTGACCATACAAGTAGTTGGGGTTGATCCACCTCGGAGACCTGCCAGGAAAATCTGTGGCCTGGGTACGTTGCTAGAATTGTCAAGTCTAGTCTGTGTGCCAAAATCCTTTAGCAGATACACTTGGGTGGAGTTATCTCTTCTCATATGACTGAGATTAGTCTGCACTGAGTGAGTTAATTTCCTACGCAAATTAGCCTAAATATGAAAACAAAATCAGAATAAACCATGATTTGAGGACTTCAATCGCTCAGACATAGGTGAGAGGTTTATTACAGGAGTGGGTGGGTGAGATTCTGTGGCCTGCATTGTGCAGGAGGTCAGACTAGATGATCATAATGGTCCCTTCTGACCTTAATGTCTATGAGATTTTATTCTTAAATATAATTTTTCTCTGAAATGGAAGTATTATAGATTACAATGATGCATATTTTTCTCTTTTACATGTATGGCCCCCAAGTTTTACAAATCCTTAACTGTGGAATATGTCATTTTAGCACCAATCTGCTGTGGCAACCTTTGTGGAAAAGGCTACTAAAAAGCTTTTTGTGAGTTCTTCATACTGTAGAGCCAGGTCTTTAAAATCAACTGTCAGTTTGTTCCTCCTTCCAATGAACTTTTAATATTAGTATTGATGTAAAAGAATATAAATCACATGGCATAAATTTGTTATTGTTGGACTGTATGAAACAAACCATAACATGGGTTGTTATTTTGGAATTAAGCAATCCCCCCAAAAGGACCACCTCCACCTCCTGCAGGCTGTTGGTGCCCTCAAGTAATGTTTCCTTGGCTCTGACATGCATGCAAATGTAAATGATCAAAATGGTAAAAAATAAATGTGAAATGGTATGATATACTCCCATTAAAAATTAAAAGTATTATTTTAAAAAGTTCCACCCAAACTAAAAAAAAAATTTGCAATCCTAATAAATAAATAAATAAAATAATAATGATACATTTTACTTATAATCAAACATTTTTTAAAAAATTACTACATTTATTTTATTAATGTCAAAAGCAAATATAAAATAAAATTTTCCTATTATAGCTGTAGGCTTCAATATTAATAAAACCCATAAATTATAAAATATGGGCCATAAAAAGTCCCCATATAAAAAACAATAAAATTAAAAACCTGTTTAAAAAACCTAAAATTAAATATAAATGTACCAAAAATGCTTTATGGCAACAACATATATATTTAAAAATAACACAGAAAATGCCATTTTGCCATAAATCCCTTTGCACATAAATCTGTAATTGTTTATGTGGGTAATAGTTATATATGTCTTAAAAGTTAATGTCCTGTGCTCACAATTAATTATGTGCACAATATAATCCATAATTACCATAAAAATAAATGTTTTTATCAAATTGTGGCTATTAAAATGTAATTTTAAATTTCAAATGCCTAAATTAAAATACAGACAATTAAATAAAAAATATACCTTATACTCTAATGCAATGCCTGTACCCATTAAAATAAATTTAATTGGCAACCGGGATTCTTAATCTGGCCTTACATCCAATTGTGGTAATTCTAATGTTTCAGGTGGCTTTGGTTGTTATATTCCTAGCACTGATGTGCTGAATTTAAAAAAAAAAAAAAATCAATTGATTGCAAAGCCAGTGGTTCTGTAGACCACAGATACTCCCCAAAAATAAGTACATGGTCTTTAACAAGACAAAATCAGGGATAAAACCTAAAAGTGCCAGCGAGAAAATTCTTGCTCAGTCTCAGTTAAAAGCCTTGAGCCTAATGCTCGGCCTTCACGAGTAACCCACTAAACTTATTACACATATGTATATGTCTTAATATTAAAAATATACAACCTTTAAGGAGGGGAGTATTACCCTGGAATTAAAGGGTATGTTACTCCAGAATTTGATCAAACTAACTAGCCATATTGTGTGCACTCAGCCACCACAAATTAATAAAATAAAACACCACATAGTTAAGGGTTATTTTGAACAAGCAGGACTTTTGAAGGCAAAGTCAAATACTAGCTGCAGGCTTGCAGTTTCTGCTAATCAAAATAAAAAAAAACCCAACCAATTATAAAACTAAAAATAAATAACTAATTAAAAACCATAAGTTTAAGTGTGTTTAATATAAAAACTTTTTATAACTAAAAGTATTAACATATTTTATTAATAATTTATTAAATTTTAAAAACCAACCCAATAAAAGTCATTATAAGCTATATATTTGATAACAATTAATTATAAGAAAATGAAATGAAAAATGTACTTTAAAACTGTTCTCTAAAGCTATCCTGAAAAACTTTTTCCTAACACCTTACTCTTGGCAAAAAAGCAACCAGCCATCGCTGACCTGCTACTAATTACTCAACACCATCTCGAATTTTAAATAATTTTTTTAAATGTTCTAAACCTATTGCTTATGTTTATATGTGCTTAAAACTAATAAATAGTGGTTTTAAATAAAAGCATGCTTACTTATATCAATCTTTCAGCTGTGTTCCCAATAATTTATTCCTAACACTGCCTAAAATAAAACAATTAAGTTACCACTGCTTTGGGTCCTAAAAACCCTCGGTAACAGGGTAACATATAATGAGGAGGTAGTGTCTGTGTCTACTGCTCTAATGGATTTGAGTTGATCTTTCTATATTTTAAAATACAATTTAAAACCAAGGTCCCAAAATACAATTTGGGAAACAAAGGTCTTATAGTTGCCATCAAGGATAATGCTAAGAGGGAGAACAGTAACCAATTACACAAACTGATGGATAATCAAGATTGATAAAATTCCATTTTCAGTTCCGCAAAGTGGATCTTTACTCTGATAGTCTGCTCTCCCTACATGACGTGTGCAGAGTTCATGGTAGGGAGAATGAGCAGAATTGCAGAGATGAGCTCTTCTGTGCAGATTTAAGATGAAAATATTACCCCAACATTGTATGACCATTGTATAACAATTGAAACCATAGCATGCAGTGCACATTGTAAGAAAAAATAATCTTATTTGAAAGGTACTTATTGTTTGGGGTGGTTTTTTTTTTTAATTTACAGCCAAAACATTGAGGACATACCTGCAATTTCTAACAGCAGGCCATATACTTCTACAGATTAAGTGATGATACCTCAAAAACCTGCCTCAACATTCTACATACAACAAAAAATGCATTTATTTTGTTGCTGTGCTAGTTTACATCTCAGAATTGGTCCTCTGCAAAATATGCACAAAAAAATTGCAAACTGGATGATGTGAGTCAACATGGAAGGAGTTGGGACAAAGTGAAAAATAATTTACTATGAAACAAATTAAGGCCCCAATCCTTCAGTGACTTCCACATAGGTCTACACAAGCAGAACTCATTTCAGGATCAGGCCCCCTAATTGATAGTAAGTTAATGTTGCTGTGAGCAAACCTGGCAGTCAGCTAATTTGTTATTGGCCAGAATACTCAACTCGGTGTTATAAAATATACACATTTCATTGGATGTCTGAAATCAGACTTCAAAAGGCAAGAAAAAGCTCAATACACATTTTCATATACAAGAGACCGTTATTACAGATTCTCTCATCTATGCAACCCTGCACGATATTTTCTTCAACTCACTCTCTGTAGTTTTATAATCTCTTAGTGGCGTTTTTACCCACACTTTACTACAGTTACTCCAACTTTTTTTTCTTGTGACTTGGTGGTATTATATTTATTAATGTATACAGCTTCATTTGCTGTAACTTTTTTTAAAATCATCTTAGCCCTTTTTGTATCATTGTACTACAAAAGTAAGATATAGCACATTACTTCCAAATGGTTACGCTATTTATATTAGTTAAGCTGTTTTAGTACTAGGGTGACCAAATGACAACAACAAAATATTGGGACACATGGGGGGGCAACCCAGGCTCACCACCCCACCAGGGCCGGCTCTAGGTTTTTTGCTGCCCCAAAAAAAAAAAAAAAAAAAAAAAAAAGCCAGAGTGCCATCAAAGCAAAATATCGGGACAAATGGCGTCAGTTGGGACGCAGGACAAGAACTAAATATCGGGACGTCTGGTCACCCTATTTAGTACAGAGTAGCACCCTAAAAATTCACTGTTATTTGAAAGGCTCTTACAACCTAAAAGAGTGCCTGAGATTTTAGAACCAATGGATCTAGCGAGGAAAATATTGCTCAAATCAAAAACAAACAAAAGTTTGGTGGGGGGGAAGCTTTTGAAACAGGAATATGAAATATGGTGAAATAAGCTCAGATAGAAAATGATTACAGGAACTTGTCTCTTCACAGATTTTAAAGCCAGAAGGGATAATAATTATGATAATCTAGTTTGACCTCCTGCCAAAAATGCCAAATTTTGAAAGGCTTAATTTTCCAGATAATACTGATACAAACCAATTTTATGGCTTTTCTCCTCAGTTCCCATTCATTCCACTCATACGACTTCACAATAGTTGGAGGCAATATATGGGTGTCAGTCTGAGTACTGCTGTCACATTTGGTAATTGGTTTTATTGAACGTTTGTCTCCACTTCTGACCTGGATGAAGATATAGGTATTTAGTAGGAGAATCCATAAGTCACAGGGGAAAAAATGACATGTAGACACAGCACCGTATTTTTTTAAACGAACAGGAATCTAAGAATACTGAAAGTTTTAAAGACTTGAATACAAAATATAAAAGTCTATTCATAGAATCATAGAATATCAGGGTTGGAAGGGACCTCAGGAGGTCATCTAGTCCAACCCCCTGCTCAAAGCAGGACCAATCCCCAATTTTTGCCCCAGTTCCCTAAATGGCCCCCTCAAGGATTGAACTCAGAACCCTGGGTTTAGCAGGCCAATGCTCAAACCACTGAGCTCTTAGTAACTAGTGGTTAATAATCATCTTATGTTCACATAGTATCTGTCATTCCAGAGGATACTAAAATACTTTACAGATTTAAACTAAGATACAGTGACTCCTCGCTTAATGTTGTAGTTACGTTCCTGAAAAATGCTACTTTAAGTGAAACGATGTTAAGCGAATCCAATTTCCCCATAAGAATTAATGTAAATGTGGGGGTGGGGGTAGGTTCCAGGCAAATATTTTTCACCACACAAAAGACTATATATATATATATATATATACACACACACACACATATATATACACAGTATAAGTTTTAAACAAACAATTTAATACTGTACACAGCAATGATGATTGTGAAGCTTGGTTGAGGTGACAAAGTCAGAGGGTGGAAGAGGGTGGGATATTTCCCAGAGAATGCCTTACTGCTAAATGATGAACTAGCACTCAGCTGAGCCCTCAAGTGTTAACACATTGTTAATGTAGCCTCACACTCTACAAGGCAGAGGGAGGGAAGACAGCATGGCAGACAGAGGCAGAGACACATACCATGTGTGTAAGAGAGAAACGTGCATTGCCTCTTTAAGTATACTGACCTAACTCTAAGTACATTGCCTTTTTAAGTAGATCAGCATGTTGAGACAGCAGCTGCTGCCAGCACGCTCCCTCAGTCCTGAGCCCTGTCATGTCCCCCCACTGCTCTGTGGAGATGGGGGACAGGAGCATGGGGCAGGAGCAGAGGGAGGGGACACCTTGACATTAGCACCCCTCTTTCCCCCACCTCTGCACAGCAAGTAGGAGGCTCCACGGAGCAGCTCCAAGGCAGAGGGCATGTTCTCTAATTGATCAGCAACATAACAATGAAACAAGGTTAACTGGGACGACTTTAAGTGAGGAGTTACTGTACAAAATTTATGCAGGGGGTGCTGAAAAGTAGCTACCTCTGGGATAAATCCTAACACCTGTTTAACAATACACAGGACAATTAAATGAAGAATACAATATCTAACTGAAACTGCAGGGGGAATTTAAAAAGCAGAACACAGTTGTCCAAATTGGAATTTGTCCAAAACACCAATGTTAACACCCATACACTAAAATTTAAAAAAATATAATCTATGATTTCTCTCCCGAAATGACATTTTTTCCCTATTACAATATATAGGGATGGACAAATAGTCTCCAACTTGTGCTGATAAAGTCAAGCTTCTCATATTTATCTACAATGCTTAATTACACAGGGCCCTCTCCTCCCTTACACAAACTACTCCTACAAAGGGAGAACAGGAAACATCATCCACAGAATTTCTCTGGGCCGAAGATGGTAGAATGCTGCCACCACTGAATTTCCATGGCCCTGCCCCTCCCACATGTAGAATTTAAGGGTGAACAATTTCCCTGAGGTGATGCCCCTCATCTATACACCAAAGAGTAGGATTTGCTGAATCCCCACATACTCTCTTTGCTGGGTAGGGGATTACCTATATCCTCAGACAAAGTATTGTCTCCATAAAACACATTTTTCTATGTCCCACTAATTCCAGTTTGACCAGGTCCCAGCACCCTTCAGTGAATCAAAAGGACAGATAGGTCAGTGTCACATCACCTATTCAACAGGGGATGTAAGCGGTAAATACCTGTGAATAAGGAGCAAGGGATTCAAACTGATGATGAAGCTCAAGCAGCTGAATAAGTTCAGCACATTCTTTTGCTTTTTCTCCAATCAACTGAATGAATGTATCTGGGTTTTGGGCAAAAACATATGCTGATTCCTTGGAACTGAAAGCATAATATTTCTCCTTATGTTTCAAAATTCCAACAGCAGGATTTCCTAACAAATAAAGCAAAAACAAGAGTGAACCAATAAATCATTCAACACACAGGGCTCCTATAATTATGAGTATACATTTCCCTCAACCAGCTCTAACTCCATCACTTTTGGAATTGTAACAGAACCTACAATCTAAACCTTTTTCAAAATTAAGAAATCCTCTCCATTACATAGTAGAATCAGATACAGTGAAAGTCAGCTTCTACAAACCATCAGAACTGATGATGACCATCTCACACTCAGTTCCCCGGGAGGGATAATGATATCTATCTCCTTTGTAAAGCACTTTGAAATGTACTGGTGAAAAGTGCTAGATATTATTATAGTCTGGATCATGCTTAAATTACAACTAGAAAGACTACTCAGACTTTATCATCCATATCTATCAAGTTAATATAAAATATGTTCCCTTCCATTTATGTTGCACATATAGGCAAATGTCTGTCCTGCAAATTTCCTGTGTAAGATTGATTGTAATTTAATTACTCTTTTATGCCAAAGGACAATACTAAGTAGGTCAGGAAATTGAACTACCATTAAAGAAGTCTTGTTTTTACTGCTACAAACAGTGGTATTTTGCCCCCATGCCCTCAAAAAAACCAAAACCAAACCATCAGTTATACCGAAAGAAATGACAGGATTACTAAAAAGTATCACCAAAAAAGATGAGCAGGTAGAGACCTGGGTTCCCTCTAATTTTTCCCACCCAAGTGCAGAACGAATTTTATTATGTCCACCAATATGGAAGTGATGTGTGACATATCACCTCCATATTGATACACATAACAAAATTCATGTGGTGGGGTGGGGCTGAGGGGTTCAGAGTGTGGGAGGGGCTCAGGGCTGCGGCAGAGGGCTGGGATGCGGGGGGGGTGAGGGCTCCGGCTGGTGGTGTGGGATCTGGGGTAGGGCTGGGGATGAGGGGTTTGGGGTGCAGTGGGACTCCCCGGGGTTACAGTGGGGAGAGAGGACTCCTCCCCCCAGTTCTCTCTCCCCACAGCAGCACCTGGGTTTGTGGGGGGAGAGGTACCTCTCCCCCGGCTGCAGCAGATCCAGGCCGGGCTGGGTTGGGGCCGGGGCACCTGTCCCCCAGCCACAGCAGGTCCGGGCTGGGCTGGGTCAGGGCTGGGGGAAGGGCACCTGTCCCCTGCCTGCGGCAGGTCCAAGGCTGGGCTGGGTCAGAGGAGCGGCACCACAGCAGGTCCGGGGAGAGGCATCTCTCTCTGCCACAGCCCTGAGTGCCTACACAGTGCTTAATAGCCAGCTGTGCGGCCGCACAGCTGCCCAGCTTAGAGGGAACTTAGGTAGAGACATATTTGAGCTGGAAAGGTTGCTGGGACGAAAGGTATGAACAACATAGCCAAGTCCAGAACATATGGTTATATGAACACTAATTATAATTTCACACACACTCAAAAACACAGAGGATTATTAGAACTACACATTAGGTATAAAGTGCAAAAGTGTTCAATGAATTATTCTAGTTTGCATGTTTGCACAGAAGGAAACACACGAGTATATGTCTTTAAACGTACTTTTTTGCTAATGTATGCATATTTACAGTAAGAACAAATTCTTCTAACTCTAGGCACCAATAATACAAATAATAATATTAATAATAATACAGAACACACCTGGGAGGAGGAGGCCATCTTTTTCAGCAAGTGTGTGAGCACAAAACCCACGGTACTGGATTAACAACTGATCAAAATTAGACGTGGTTTCTGGAAAAAGCCACTCTTGTTCCTTGAAATCAGAAACATTTACTTTGATTCCTGAAAGAGAATTTGGCAAAGGAAAGATGACAATAAAATACATGATGCCTAAAATGTGATTTAATGGGAATCTCAAAGGGAGTTCAATCATGCTTTAACACATTGTGGCCTGAAGTGTTGAACGCCCACAGCTCCACTGGTTTCCACAGGAGCGGGAACACTTAGCACTTTTGAAAATCAGGCCCCGGTTCACCATGGCCTACTTATTTTTTGGTGGTAGACTGCCTCCAGGCATTCTAGTAGTGTAGGTTTTCCTTGGAAGCACATGGCCACAAACAGAAGGTAAAATCTAATAATTTCAGCCATTGTTTTAAACTCACCCATTTGTTTCAAATCCACTACAGCAGAACTTGGTTAATTGGTAGCGACAACTCCCTGAACAAATATTTCTGATAACCTAATATCCCTAATGAATTAAACTGTTCTTTTTTTCCATCTCAGAGGTTTCAGAAGGCATAAACAGACAAAGCAAAACACAAGGAATCCTGAATTATTAAAGTGCAGGGCATTTCTAAAATCAATGGTTTCAGAGTAGTAGCCGTGTTAGTTTGTATTCGCAAAAAGAAAAGGAGTACTTGTGGCACCTTAGAGACTAACAAATTTATCTGAGCATAAGTTTTCGTGAGCTACAACGATGAAGTGAGCTGTAGCTCACGAAAGCTTATGCTCAAATAAATTTGCTAGTCTCTAAGGTGCCACAAGTACTCCTTTTCTTTTTTCTAAAATCAATGTGGCATTTTAACTGGATGTATTTATATACATACTTTAATAATAGGTAAAGCTGTACTTTATGATATAAATTCATACCTATACTCAGGCCCTCTCAGAGGTCCAGAGAGGCCTGGGCTACTTCCAGCTTTTGAGGTCCCTAGCCATAATAAAAATAAAAAATGATGACACATGAAAACAAAATACGGCACCAAAGAAAAGAGTGAGACATAATTTGAATATTTTTTTTATTTAACAAATGCTTTTCTAGCCTTTTTCTGTGCAAATGCACTAATTATTGATGAAAAATCTAGCTTTCGTGCAATGTCACAGTTGATATTAAGCACGGCGAGCCCATTCAAACGCTCTTGTCCCATAGTTGAATGGTGATAGTTCTTTACCTGCTTCAACATGTTGAAGGTGCGTTCACCTGAGCCACTGATGTAGGCAAACACAAAAATATGCAATGCAATTATGATATTAGGAAACACCCCAGAGAGTCCAAGTTCGAGTATTTCTTGAAGCAATTCCTTTGGCTTGAAATCCAATTTAAAGTTCGTGGAATATATTCGTTTGAGGAAGATGACCTCAACACTGAGATCTTTTGAGATTTCTTTGTTGTACTGTTGCTGAAATCGTTCAGCTGCAGAAAGTAGATCTTCATTACTCTGTCTGTTGAACTGCCAAAGAAATCCCAAAAGGGTACGAATTAGTCACAGTGACTCAAATCGACATGTAAGACCTGATTGAATAGAGTCAATGACATTGACCCTATAATGCTGCTCGGCATCAGATTCAGTAGGTAAGTTGCGATTGGTGAGGAACTCAGATGAAATGCCAATATTCTGTCCTACTAATTTGGACTCAGTCAGGATCGCATGCCATTGTTCACGAATCTGTTGAATGTCATTGATAAGACTTTCAACATTATCCCTCTCAACATCAAGTGTGGCACTGTGTGCTTCAATTACCAGATTAGTTTGGTGGATCATTGTAAGTAGCTTCATCTACAAAGATGATATCAGAATGCATTCAAATTTGGACATGTGCTTCTGAATAGACTGAAGTTCAGTTTGAGCCTGTGCAGTGAGATTGAGAGATTCAAGCTCATTTAAAGCCTTTGTCACGGAATTCAAATGCTGCGCAACTGGTTGAACACCATCAATCCGTGCAGACCATCTAGTTTTGAACATCGCATGCAGTGAAACAGGAAGATATTGCTTCAGAATTTCTCACCTTTGTGGACTGCTACTGAAGATATTGTACATTTCCTGAAAAGTTCCAAAGTAAGTAATTGCCTCCTTGCACAGTCAACGCCTAAAAGGTTTAGTGTGTGGTTTCTACAGCTGGAGAAAATACAGTTTGAATTATGCTCAGGCAGAACTGCTTGCACACCTTTGTACTTCCCCACCATATTGGATCCATTGTCATAGGCTTGACCAATGCAGACTTGAAAATCTAACTTAAAACCTTCTAGAATTGCTGGTACTTGAGCAGCAATTTCTTTTCCAGTTTTTCTCGTGAAATTATCAAACAAAATAAACCTTTCTTCAAATGAAAATTTTGAGCTATCTACAATCTTAACATATCGAATAAGCATAGTAGTCTGTTCCTTGTGAGAACAATCTGGAGTGGCATCAACAATGATTGAAAAATACTTGACATTTCAAATCTCATCAAAAAGTGTTTGTACGAATGACACACATCGCTCAATAAACTCATTTTGTATGCGTGTGGAGAGATAATGGACTCGCATGCTCTTTTGACTCTCTTGCGATTCTCGAACATGTTTAACATGCTCTGATAAAAGTAGGTCATATTTGCTGAGGAGCTCAACTATGTCTAGAAAGTTTCCATTTGCACGATTACCAAAACGTTGACTGGAACCAAAGAAAGCCAATCCCCGCTCAGAAAGAAAAAGGATGACATTCAGGATGCGGTCAAGAAGTTTTTTCCAGTTATTAGTTTCTGTAGAGAGTTCAATCAAGAGTAAATTCTCAACTGAACTTTCAGCTGATGCTGCCCTACTGGATGATTTCCATGTAACATAGTTTTCTTTGTGTGACGCTGAACTCTCATGTGATGGTATTCGGTCTTTCAATTTTCTCCAACCTCTGTTGATTCTCCATCCTGACTGATCTGAGAGAACTGATGCATTTGCAGCACTTTTGTTCAAAATGAAGCAGGGTGAACAGTACAGAGATTGTTTTTCCTCACTCCAGCATAACCAGTCTCTTTGTGCAGGTCTCACCATTTGGAAGAGTTTTTGTCAGCAGACGAGTAGAGAAAGCATGATTATCAGCATCTCGTGAATGTTATTTGGAATTTCAAAACAACTAATTTAAAGAAAAGATTGCATTTGGGCAGCATTGCTCTTGTCATAATTCCAATGTCAGTCACAGTCAAACCTGTAGTACTCATGAATTGCTCTTGCTGCATAAAATCTACATCTTCCTGTTGATGTTGAGTTTCTTGATCGTACACAGGATCTTCTGCTGCATCTGTTACTGTTGGCACATCTCCTTCTTGACTACTGTCCTCATGTTCAGATATTGGCAATGAATTATCACCTGTTGCAGTTGCAGAGTTTTCATTATCTGTAGCATTGTTTGTTGGATAAGGTGTGTTTTCTAGTGGTTTGAGAAATGAAGATATTGGCTTTGAGCTCGTAGCTGCTGCTTCACTCAGCTGTTTTTGCCGTCTCTTGCTTGCACCACTTTCAAATCTCCTCTTCATAGTAATCTATTTGGTCAATATGTAGCCTATCCACACTTGAAATATTCTGCTGTAAATAAGTAGCTTATCTACATTTGAAATCTTCTACTGTAAACATGTACACAAATGCTGAATGGTACACAAATGCTGAAAAGACTTAAAATGAAGGAATACTAATTAAGAACACAAAATGAAACAGTCAGACAGGTTATTATCCTTATCATGGAATCAACACTGGAGCATGCAAGGTATAATGTAATAGGCTGAACTGAAGACAAAGGGATGACATATATATAGTAAACACAGACACGGATACAGACAGAAGGATAATGTCCACAAATTTCAAATGTGTGTCCTCACAAAACTCACTGTACACGATTGTCCTCACACATTTTCACCTTGAATCTGGGCCTATAGACTACGAAAGCCTAGGATAATGGCCAAGCTACCAAGCTAGGGCTCAACCAACCAACCAGTCACCTCTTTTAGCTACCATATGAAGATAATAATGAGGAATTCTCACACATAAATAATTCCTTAGTCAACTAGACGTAAAACTATAAAGACACTAAAATGTAACAATTCTCTTCCTTTCAACATGCACTTGATCCAGCACCAGCCACTAGTAGTGGTTTGTTTATATAATCAGCTGATCTAGAGGACACGTTCATCACAGTCTAATCTTGGGCCAAATGGATATATTTTTATTAATATTTATTAACATTTTTAACTCTTTAATATGACAAAATCCATATCAGTTAACAAAAAAATTATGTCTTTTACCAAATCACATCTTTTATTTGCTTAAATTTGCAGCTCTAAGCTGAGAGAGCGTGTCACATTTTGGTCTGATTGGAATGCGCACAACAACAAGTTGTGAAACTTATCAAATGCCAAAAACTTAACAAGTGTCTAAATTTGAGGCCCCCTTTGAGCTTGAGGCACAGGCCAAATGGCCCTCCTGGCCCCACCTCTGATTGGCTCCGCCTATACTGAAGACTCTTTTTAGTATTTATTGTTTATATTATCATAGAATTGTAGGACTGGAAGAGACCTCAAGAGGTCATCTTCCACTCATGGCAGGATTAAGTATTATCTAGACCACCCCTGACAGGCGTTTGTCTAGCCTGCTCTTAAAAATCTCCAATGACAGATATTCCACAACCTCCCTAGGCAATTTATTCCAGTGCTTAACCACTCTGACAGGAAGTTTTTCCTAATGTCCAACCTAAGCCACTCTTGCTGTAATTTAAGACCATTGCTTCTTACCCTTTCCTCAGAGGTTAACAAGAACAATTTTTCTCACTGCTCTTTGTAACAACCTTTTATGTACTTGAAAATGTTATCATGTTCCCTCGCAGTCTTCTCTTCTCCAGACTAAATAAACTCAATTTTTTCAATCTTCCCTCATAAGTCATGCTTTTTAGACCTTCAATCATTTTTGTTGCTCTTCACTGGACTTTCTCCAATTTGTCCCTATCTTTCCTGAAATATGGCTCCCAGAACTGGACACAATACTCCAGTTGAGGCCTAATCAGCATGGAGTAGAGCAGAAGAATTACTTCTCGTGTCTTACTTACAAGACTCCTGCTAATACGTTCCAGAATGATATTTGGTTTTTTTGCAACAGCGTTACACTGTTGACTCATATTTAGCTTGTGATCCACTATGACTCCCAGATCCCTTTTTGCAGTACTCCTTCGCTGGCAGTCATTTCCCATTTTGTATGTGTGCAACTGATTGTTCCTTCCTGAGTGGAGTACTTGGCATATGTCCTTATGGAATTTCATCCTATTTACTTCAGACCATCTCTCCAGTTCATCCAGATTATTTTGATTTTAATTCTATCCTCCAAAGCAACCCCTCCCAACTTGGTATCGTCTGCAAACTTTAGAAATGTATTCTCTATACCATTATCTAAATCATTAATGAAGATACTGAACAGAACTGGACCCAGAACTGATCCCTGCAGCACCCCACTCAATATGCACTTCTGGCTTGACTGTGAACCACTGATAAGTACCTCTAGGAATGTTTTTCCAATTAGTTATGCACCCACCTTATAGCAGCTCCATCTAGGTTGTATTTCCCTAGTTTGTTTAACATAGCACCCAGTTACTCCAATAGGAATCAGGGTCCCATTTTGGTAAGTATTATGGGAAAATATATGAAGATATCTCAAGGTGCTTACAAGTTTAACATAAAGAACAATTTAGTAGCTTATGTCATAGGAGTAACTTTAAAAATTGCATCTGAATTCCATCTCACATGCTCTTCCCAAGAGTATTACTAGCAAAATTTCAACTACAGTGACAGGGTCTTAGATGAAAAAGGTCTGATCTCACACCTACAGAAATTAGTGGCAAAGTGTCCATTGACTTCACGGGGACCAGCAGCAGTCCCAGGTATAGCAGCACACTGATAATGTAGAATAAATAGTAGCACTATCCCAGGGAGCAGGTATTGGTGTCCGAGCACTGTTTTCCTCTCAGTTTTCAGAAGATGTGTACCAATTATATGTAAACCATGTTTTCATCAAGAAAGTAAGAGTCCAGTTCTGTAAAGCATTAAGTGCTCATATGTGGTCCTGAGCACCCAAAAATTCTGTTGCCCTCAATAGGACTATTGGGTAAGGACCCCTATGTCAATAAAGATTTTCAGGGTCAGGTCCTGCTTTAGATAGGAATGTTGCTCTTTTTAGAAACAGGATTTAAGTCACAAAATCATACAAGGACTCAAACAGGAAAAAGGAAATGTGATAACTTTCAGTACCCATGGTTTCCTTTATCCTTTGCTCATCATTCTTCACAGTCACTCCTTCGAGAAGCGACTCCATCACATCATCAGGAAAGAGTTGTGCATGGATTCCCAAGAACTGCTGTAGACTGACTGTCAAATTAGTCAGGAAACTCAGCAGCAATATCTCATCCTGAAAGCTCGTCCAGAGGTTAGATAGTGCAAGAAAGATAGGCTAGAAAATAATAAGAAAGACCTGAAATCTACATTTGCTTTGTCTGTATAATTAAACAAATACTGTAAACAATAGTCACAAATACAACTGTTAAACACAAGGGGCCCAATCCTGCATGCCCTCTGCACTCAGAAATCCCAGTGAAGGGCTTGCAAGATCAGGCCCAAATCCTAGAAACCATTTAAATTTACTTTAAAAGTAATAAAAACATTTTGGGGAAACATTGGAGGCAGTTTTCTGAATTATATTGGAAAAGAGTCTCTCCTCCTCCCCACAAATATAATAATATAAATGCAAAATGAAAAGATAGGCAGAGGAAGGCAATAAAGAAGAAATTCCTGTATTCAGGTTAACTATAAAAAGAAACACAAACAGACCTAGGCATAGACAAATTTCAGCCTTTGTTCCTCTCATTTTCCCTCAGTCCCAAAACAGTTTAGTACAGATACAGATTTCAAAGACAATGGGAGAAAATGGGCCTGTTGTAACATATTTGAAATCACTGAGGAAATGGCCAGTAGAAAATAATTACATTCTTGACTATGCCGAATAAATTTTGAATGTTAACACAGGCATCTTCAAGTTTTCAGATCTTAGCACAGTAGAAAAGGGCTCCCTCGACATCAGGAATACATTCAATGAACTTAAAATTCATCCTAGCACATTAGCATTCATGTTAATGGAGCCATGATAAGAATTGTTATGGGAGTTAGCTCTGTTGTTCATCAGCATCACTATCATGAAATGCTATGGACACAAGAAATGAAAACAGAGGAATGACAGCAAAATAATTTTTACTGCAAATAGTATCATAACCTTCTGTAACTCAATTGTTGGAAAATGAGTGAGCCTACTCTATACTCTAAAATGCTTGTCTGCTACATTCTCAATCCAGACCCTGTGCTACAAATGCTGAATTAAAAAATCTCCTGATGCTCTTACACAATACAACTTCTCTGCAGCAATTTGAAGACAAGTAGGATTAAGTGGTCTTGTGATGGGGAAAGTTCTACCTGCAAGAGCACAGATGGAATCAAGTATCTTGTACATATTCTGTTGCTAACAGAAGTGAAGAAAACAGGCAAATAACATGGTACATAGAAGCTATTCAAGAAAGGAAATCTATGGTAAACTCCTTAGGACAGGGATGATGTGCCTTCTTGTTTGCTTGTAAAGTGACAAGTATGTTTTTGGCCCTCATAATAAAAATGAACAGTATAGGGAGAGAGAAGACAAAGAGAAAGAATTGCTCTGGGTAGCAGGATAGAAGAAAGGGGTGTCTGCTAAAAGGACAGGATTTGTAAGATCAACGGGCATATAGAAACAGCTACACTGGATCAGACCCAAGAGGCATCTAGTCCAGTATCCTCTCTTTGACAGTGGGCAGCACCAGATGCTTCCCAGGAAGGTATAAGAACCCTAAAGAAGGTAGATGTGGGATAATCTGTCCCCCCACATTAGGTCTCATGAGGCTCTCTAACAGTTAGAGATTTACTTAAGCCATGAAGCATGAGGTTTAAGATCCCTTCCAAAATGTTTATTATAACTAATTATGACAGAAAGTGGACAAGATAGTGACTACTTTATTACATATCTTCCCAGCTAAAAATAAGAACCCAAATAAGAACTGACCATGTGTAGGTTTGCACAGCCCTAGTTTCAAAATAATATGGATAGAAGACTCTGAGCCAAGGCTATTCCAACATAATACAATAGTGAAGCATCATTAACTTAAAACTCTCATCTCTGAATATTTCTACCTACTATTGTTACAAGTAATATTTAAGGCTACTTTAAAGAAAAGGAATAGAGAAAATCTATTTTTAGTGCTATTCTATGCATTTAACATCACTTTTGGCATAATCATTTTCTCTATTCACCTAGAGTTAGTTTTCCCTGTTTTTATGTCTTTCGCAAAGCAACAGGAAAGAAAAAGAAATATTAAAAAAAATAGGAAAATATGTTTGTAAAACCACAATTATCAACTCAAAGCAGGTGTAATAACAAATCCTTTTAACTTTTTTAAAGCAAATGAATAGATGTCAAGGTAGCTGTGTCTGTGGAACACTATTAGACAGATACAGAAAATAAGATCTTTTTTCCTAATTCAACATGAAATTTATGTGAACCATGTCACATGATACTGCAACATAAATATTATGTTAGTATTGTAGACAATAAAAGTGATTTTTCTCATTTGCTTTTGTTCAGAAAATAATACTTTTGCATTTCAAATGCTTACGAAAACTTGTGACGTAGGTACAGCAGTCTTTGCTTTAACAGTGTTTTTTAACTGCTCTATTTGTGCTGCAAACTGCTTGTCCATCATTTCAACTTCTCGTGCACACGTGATCACATCAGACTGGAAAGAGAACATACCTCAGGTAAGGATACAGTCACAGAAAAATAAATAGCTATCAGAAACTATTTGGGTATTTGCATTCTGCCTCTTTTTGGGCAGTTATATTTTAAGGGGTGGCATGCAACCTAACTTCTAAATAGAGTCAGAATTTTACAGCCAGAAGGGACCACTAGATCATCTCGTCTGACCTCCTGTAGATCACAGGTCCCCAACACCATCCAGCACCCACCCACATACTAAACCCAACAACTGAAATCAGAGCAATGTATTACAACCCACAGGAGACTAGACCAGTATGTGCCACATGCAGAGAACAGGAGGCCCCCACAATGGCAGGAAAATCATTAAATGAGATATACTCAAATACTCCTGGAAAGTGACCCATACCCACATGCTGCAGAGGAAGGCGAAACCCCCCAAAGGTCACTGCTAATCTGACATGAGGGAAAATTCCTTCCTGACCTCACACATGGCAAACAGCTAGACCGTGAGCATGTGAGCAAGAACCAGCCAGTCAAGTGCCTGAGAGAGAGAATTCTTGGTGTCAACTCATAGCCTTGGCCTTCCCCCTCCAATGTCCCATCTCCAGCAGTGTCCATTTCTGATGCTTCAGAGGAAAGAGATAACATTGGGGATGTGTAAAATCCCTTCCTGACCCCTGCAGGTAGCCGGCTGAATCCCTGAAGCATGAACTTTTAACATATCATTCTAGCTGCACAGCTCAAACACAGCACCAGGATTTCTTTCCTCAAACATATACCCCTATTTTACTTTGTAAAATGCAATTTACGCTGAAATTTCATATTAAGATATCCTAAAGAATCCATAAGATATAATGTGATATCTCACCAGAATGATGCAGAGGAAGGCTTCATGTTGTCTCACATTGAAAAGTGCTTCCTTTAACATAGATAATCTAGATTCTATATTTCTGTGTGGGCTCTCATGCTTCATTTCCAAGACAGCTGTGTAGCGGTATGCCAGATCTTGGGAGGCACGAAGCTCTGCATCAATAGGCTGCGTGGCTGCTGGGATGGCTTCATTCAGAATAGCTGGCACTATTTATGCAGATTTAGTATGAGATACATAGGAAGGTAACAGATATAGAAACACATCATGGTAATCATGCTTGATAGTTAATATTTTCAGTTCAATACTTTGATCAGAGGAATCCTCCAACAGATTTCTGAGTGCAAGCTCTTATTCTGAGACATCACACATTTCCAAAATTTGTTCACAAGACCCAACCATTACATACATTGCTGGTCAAATGGTTTTTACCAATGACAACTATACTGTGAGGAAAATACTACAGTATAGTCTATGACAGAGGTGGGCCACATCTGGCCTGTGGGACCCTCCTGCCCGGCCCCTGAGCTGCTGGCCCGGGAGGCTAGGCCCTGGCCCTTCCCCGCAGCTCCCGCTACCCCGCAGCCTCAGCACACCGCACTGCCACTGCAATGCTCTGGGCGGCCGGGCAGCACAGTTGCAGAGCCGCGGCCTGACCCAGCCACCGGTGCTCCAAGCAGCGTGGTAAGGGGGCAAGGGCTGGGGGTGGATTGAGGGCAGGGGAGTTTGGGGGTGTGGTCAGGGGTCGGGGGTGTGGATAGGGGTCGGGGCGGTCAGAGGGCGGGGAACAGGGGGGTTGGATGGGGCAGGAGTCCCGGGGGAGCCCTCAGGGGGAAAGAAGCAGGGTGGGAGGGGGGTCAGATTGGAGGTGATGGCCAGGCCATGCCTGGCTGTTTGGGGAGACACAGCCTCCCCTAACCGGCCCTTCATACAATTTTGGAAACCTGATATGACCCTCAGGCCAAAAAGTTTGCCCGCCCCTGATCTAGGATTATGGAAAATTAGCTTTTCAGAAGGTCTTGGTTCAATATTGGGCTCTTCCAAAATTGTGTGCGTGACTCTGGGTAAATCACTTATGTGCCTCTGTTTCCCCATCTGTGAAACTGGGATAATAATAATTAAAGGTGTTATGGGAATGAATTAATTCACATTTATGAGATGCTCACATAGTACGGTAATGGGTCTATATAAGCCCAGAAAAAGATAAAAATATAATATTGCTGATTAAAATGAACTATTTTTGTTCTTACTGGACATGGCACATTACAAAAAACCCACAAAATTCCATAAGCTGCCCAATGGGAGTCCAAAATCTTTGAACTGATGGTTTTATAATTAACTCTTCTTCCTTAGAGCCTCATTATCAAAGGAGGGTGTAAACAGGCGTGCATCCACTACATTCTACATTTGGATGTGCAAATAGACATCTGCGCATGCAAAAGAGATAAGTGTGCACACTCAGAGCAGACAGTTGTGTCATGTGGGGTTTTATTATGCATTCCTCTTTATATGTGACTTAACACTAAAACATAGAAAAGCAGCAGAAGCAGTGTGTTGTAGTGGTTAGACTCAGAGAGACGATCTGAGTGGCAAAACTGTTGATTTCTATCCGGTCAGCTCTGCCCACAATTTCCTGTATGATCTTTAGAAAAATCACATAAAACTCTTCAATTAATCTCTATTTTTCAATCTGTAAAGAGGGGTAATAATGCTGTATATACCTTTGTGAAGAGCACTAAGAACCTTGAATTAAAGGTGCTCTAAGTGCAAAGTATTATCTCAATTATCGAAATAATCAGTAGCATAGTTGATTATTTGCATGTTCACAACTCACAGTACATGTTATTATTTATTTTTGTATAACATCATTCATTCAGAGGTATTAGAACATTTTACATATAGTGTCTTAGCCTCTACATGAAAATACAATTAAACTACGTAGATTACAATATATCATATATATTGCAATTTTATTTCTATTGAACAGCCATTTAAATAATAATTCTGATACGTTTAGCAATGAAATATTTAATAACGTTGGTTGATTGCAGGGTGCAGGGCTCAACAGACGTGGGGCTCACTTCTGGCTTATGTCCCTAAAGCTCATGCTTCAGGGTTTCAGTTGGCCACCAGCAGGGGTCAAGAAGGGATTCCTCCCCATTGCCCCTGCATTTTGAGAGGTTTTTTTTTAAAAAATTTCCTTCTTCTGAAGCATCAGGGATAGCAACAACTGGAGACAGAGCACTGGGTAGGCCAGGGCTATGAGGCGGCATTTGAACATTCTCTCTCTCAGATGCTTGGCTGGCTGGTTCTTGCTCATATGCTCAGGGTCTAACTGATTCCTATATACATGGAGCCAGGAAAGAAATTTTCCAACATCAGATTGGCAGTGACCTTGGGGTTTTTTTGCCTTCTCTGCAGCATGTGGATGTTGGTCACTTACTTGCCAGAATTATCTGGGTCTCTATCATTTAATCATTTCCCTGCCCCTGCAGGGGCCTCCTGCACTGGTGCACCTTGGTCCTTCCTATTTTCTGTGTGTGCCACATAATAGTTTAGTCTCCAGTGGCTCGCATTTAGTTTGGTGTCATTTCTGTTGTTGGATTTAGTGTGCAGGTGCTGGGTGGTGTTGGTGACCAGTGATATACAGGAGGTCATACTAGATGATCTAGTGGTCCCTTCTGGCTTTAAACTCTATGACTCTATATTTTAAGGAGGGAGTCAAAAATAAGGGCAACAAGGAAGTTTAGCCATCTCTTTGGACTTACTATTTTGGGCTATCTGGCTGCACACTCAAAAAGATTCCAGTCCATCAGTTTACATCATTATAGTTATCTAAACAACTAGAAGGGCTCAAGATTTAAGAGATTTTTGAGTATTCAAGAAGAATCGGGAGAAATTACCCTAAATTATCAGAATTTATGTATTTTCTGCCTCATGGATTTCTAACATCTCATGCAATATTAGATTAAAGGTATGCTCTACTGTAAATATTTTGACAGTACCATTTTGACATTTGCATTGATTGGCCTTAAGCATTACACAATTCATTCATCTAATGGTTTGTTTTCCCTTCAGGCTTACTGACACTGGGCCAATCCTGCTTATCTTGAGTAGCATGAAGTCATGGAGCTAGAGGCAAGAAAAGTCTTTCTTAGGGCTCATAATTTTAATTTAGTAATATACCTACAGTCATCAATGCCTTCTCCTCCTTTCCCACAGTCCTTGTTGAATAACCGAATTCCTGTGACAATCATGGTAAGTTCTTTCAGTTGTCGCTCTTTGTCCTTCTTGCTGAGAGAGAGAAAAACACCCAGCTCTGTCTGGGGAAACACACTCTGCAGGGCAGCTGAAAAGAGTTAAAAAATAACAGCATGTATAAGAATGAAACTGAAAATACTAGGGAAGCAAAACTAACTCCTCTTTATGGGTAGTTGTGAAAACAGAAAAGTGTATTCTAGATTTGGAGAGATGCTTAGGCATTCACAAATTAATAATTTTACCACACCTTTTGTTGGAGACTAGCAAATAACAAAACAGACAGGCTGATATGCTATCAAGCTATTTTATGCCATAGAAATGATTTAACTGAAATTCAGACTATTAGTAGCAAAAATTTTTAAAACTGCCACAATTTACAATATTTACTAGTATCTGGGCAATGGACATTTTAATGAAAGAGTTAGACAGCCTGATTCCTAACTTACACCAGTTTCACACCAGGAAACTCAACTGAAGTCAACAGAATTATTCCAGATTTTTACATAGTGTCAGAGCAGCATCACGCCCAGACTTTATTTTCCCACAAGGGATGCCCAGTATCAGATACTTTGACTGATTACTGACCTGTTGCCTCCCTAACAACCTTGATGTCTGTAGGGGATCCGAGGCCAGATCGTAGCAGAACATAGCTAACAATCTTTCGATAAATGCTCTCCAGCTCTTCTCGTGTACGAGCACGATTATCTGTGATTTCTCTGCTCACAGGGGCCAGCCTGGCCTCTAGAATGCGATGCTGCTCATTAAGTAACTCAACTGGGAAGGAAAGATATTTGAGAAGTGCTACGTTACAGCCAAATATTATTCTCATTTTTGGTCTAACGTACGTAGAGTAACATAATTTTCACTGTACTGAACATGCTGTTTGTGTATTTTGGGCCTGCTCCAAATCTCAGTGGCTTTCGATCAGGCCCTTAGTTTTGCTAATTTTAAAAATCCACTATGAAAGCCAGTGCTAGGCAGCAAAATCTTTCAAATAATTTTCACAGTTTATCCTGATGCCCTATGAATGTCCCATGCTTCTCAGCTCTCCCTATCCCAAGAATATTGCATGTCACTGTGACTCTCGTTCTCCCCCTTCTCTTTTCCTGTTCCCACCCATACCTTCTCTGCCATTTTAAGTCACTGGGAGTGGGCACTGATCAGAGACAACATACTTGTCTTTGGCTATTATATATAAATATTGTATCTACCTAATTTACTGGGATTGTAATATTTGTATTTTATGAAATAATCTCTGGACTATGCAAACTCAATACATTTAAAATAGACGGTCCAATAATGCGGGTCATTCTCAATTGTGAAAATCAACAAATGGACAAATTCTGCTCTCAGGTCACACAAGTCTAGAGTAACTGCACTGAAGTCAATAGACCAGTGTAACTGAGAGGAGAATTTGGTTCAAAGAACCTAGAACGTTGCCTTTCTATAAAGGTAAATCTCTCTCTCGCATAAAAAAAAAAAAGTGAATATGTTTTGGCTTCCAAGTCCATTACACATTCCTTCTGTGTTATATCCATGCTGTAACACTGTTCTTCCCATGATAGACCTTGTGGCACTCTATACCTCAAACCAGAACCTTGGAACCCCCATATTCACCATTGTCATGTAATTATGATATGTTTCGTACAAAGTATGCCATGCAAGATACATAGGAAAGGTCATGATCTGCTGAAACCCTCTGTTCCATCAAAATAAGTATATTATTAGTGTATATGAAGGTATGAGATTTTGCCGTACGGTTGTTATTGAAATAAGTTGTAAGTTTGGGAGTTGTCCCTTGCTAGTTCTTCAGTGACAACAAAGGAGGTGATCCACACCCAGGCGGGCATTAAATGACCATTAATCAGCAGGGGAGTTGTAGACAAGGGATTTACAATTCTGTAACAAAGCACCACACAATGGGGATTCAGAGTAACAGCCCTGTTAGTCTGTATTCGCAAAAAGAAAAGGAGTACTTGTGGCACCTTAGAGACTAACCAATTTATTTGAGCATAAGCTTTCGTGAGTATGCATCCGATGAAATGAGCTGTAGCTCACGAAAGCTTATGCTCAAATAAATTGGTTAGTCTCTAAGGTGCCACAAGTACTCCTTTTCTTTTTACAATGGGGATTGTTCAACCCTGTGACTCAGCAAGGCCCATCAGGCATGCCTGGGCTAGTTTCTTTGCAGGGACACGGACTAAAGCTATGCCTACACTGCACTTTCATTGGTAAAACTTTTGTCGGTCAGGGGTGTGATAAAAAAACAGACCCCTGAGCGACAAAAGTTTTAATGACAAAAAGTGCCAGTGTGGACAGCACTTTGTCTGTGGGAAAGCTACTGCCCCTCGTTGGGGGTGGTTTTATTTTGCTAGCAGGAGAGCTCTCTCTTGCCAGCAAAGAGCAGCTACACACTGTACATTACAGCAGCCTGGCTATAGCAGCATAGTTGTGCCACTGTAAGGTACAAAGTGTAGACATAGCCTAAGGATATAAAATAAAGGACAGTGGCATTGTGCTTTTACCATTCTCCTCCCGCACCTACACTGGAAGCAACAAGAACGCTGGGAAGACAAAGTCTTGAACTGAGGAAACTGGTCTCAGACTTAAAGGGAAAACCTGTGTATTAAGGACTGTAAGCAACCTGTAACTTCCAATGGGGTGAGAAAACTGTTTGATCCAAATATTGTTCAGTCTAATAAGGTTCAGGATTTAGACTGCATGCTTACCTTTCATTTTTCTTGGTAACTATCTCTGACCTTTAGTGCCTACCACTTATAATCACTTAAAATCGATCTTTCTGAAGTTAATAAATCTGTTTTATATTTTACCTAAAACAGTGTGTTTTGGTTAAAGTGCTTGGGAAATCTCAGCTCAGATTACAAAGGCCAGTGTGTATCCTCTCCACACTGAGGGAGAGGCAGACCGGGTAATGAACTTACACTGGTCAGGCTTCCGACCAGGGCAATATAGTACAGTTCTGCGGTGCAAGGCTGGGGGCTTGGAAGGTGTGCTGGTTCCTTTCTCTGTGTGATTCCATGAGTGGCTCAGGGAGCATCCATGCAGTTTAGCTGGTTGCGGGGCTCCACATGCTGTTGTACTATGAAAACAGTGCCAGGAAGGGTTTGGTGCTTGTCGCTAGCAAAACATTGTGAGAGGGTGCCCAGGCTGGAGAGTTAAGGGGGTACAGTGGTATCCCAGTTCAGGTTTTACTCCAGGGAGCGTGTCACAGACCTATCCTATTATCTACCCAGGTTCTTACTGGAGCTCAAAATTTCACCAATTTAAAAAAAAAAAGGCAAGTCAAATGAGTTGAGATGCTGCATAGCCTAGTGGACTGAACACAGGCCTGGGAGCCAAATTCTCCTGAGTTCTTATTCCAGCTCTGCTCCTTACTTATTCTGTGGCCTTGGGCAACACTTTTGCCTCAGTTTTCCCACCTCTAAAACAGGGAAAGTAATACCTATCTCAAGGCATATTGTGATAATTCTTTTTTAAGTAGTAATTTAATTTACAGCCATATAGTTTTGCCTACACTTTCAAGTTCATTTTATTATCTTATTTTGCTTTGCTATCACGTGCATATAGTACGCTAATAAAGATTAATATTAAAATACAGATGAAACAATATAGTTAGATACAAGTTTTATTATCTGACACTCATATTTAATATTTGTACATATTAAAATTACCTCGGTCTGTATAATTCATATCAAAGTAAACTTGCATCTTAATAGTGTCCAGGGATGGATTTGCTGTGTCAAGAAGTCTACCAACACAGAGCTAAGAAGAGAGTTGTAAAAGTTAATACTTTTTAACCACTTAGAATTTTCTGAAACATCAATAACAATGTTACTATTTTGACAGCAGGAAGGGAGCCATCCTCTCCCCATTCTCCAGACAGAACATGATGAATAGGTATATACCACCCTAGGAAATGCAGAATCCACTCTTGACTACAGAACCATGAGAATGAAGTATGATGCTAGTTTTCAAAATGCTTTAAAGGAATCTTAGAAATTGATCAGGTAGCTAAAAATCACCAACTTACAAACTGGTATTATTTAGTATTTGTTAAGTGCTAATGTTCGGTGCTGTATAGACAAATTTTTTTTGTTCGGTGATGTATAGACAAATCTCCTACTCAGGACTTGTCTACACTGGCAATTTACAGAGCAACTTTCTCGCTCAGGGGTGTGAAAAAAACACACCCCTGAGAGCAGCAAGTTTCAGCGCAGCATAGAGGGAACTTAGTCTGACATGTGAGTGCTGGGAGCTATACCCCTCATAGAGATGGGTTTTTTACAGTGCTAGGAGAGCGTCCACACAAGCGGCAGCGCTTTAGCATTGCAAGTGTAGACTAGCCCTAAGACTGATTAAAGCAATTAAAGATGCTTCCAATATTTCTATCTGCTATTCTCAGTCTCTCTCTACCTCCCTCCAATATCTGGTTATATTGTAGCTCCAGGAGGCAAAAAATAGTTCATTCATCTCATCTTCATCTACCCTCTAATAATTATGCTGAGATCTCAGTAATTTATCATAAGGTCACTTTCACCAGTAGTTAGATTGTTTAGATTTCCTAATGCATATACAGCAATACAGGTGGCTTTGCATAATTGTATATGTTAGCCTGTGGAAGGCAATGGCAGGTATGTTTTGTTACTATAAATACAGAGCAGATGTTTAAATTTTATTTCTACATAAGTATGTAAAGTTTCTGAACTTTTGGAGAATTTTCAGAATTACCTTAATAAGTTTTTGCACATCATTTTTTGTGAGGGTTCTATCTACATTAAACTCATTCCTTGGATCCAAAACGACAGCTTTCACCTGCAGATTAGCAAAAGATGTTATTGGGGGACTACTCACAGTGAGTAAAATTAAATCCTAGCAAGGCTAGAGCCTAAGAACAGAGTCTGAAAACTGTGGCCAAAGTGCGCAACTGCTAAATCTTTATACTTGTCTGTTTAGTGAAAATTGTATTATTAATCTTAGGGGGATATTAACATGACCTGAAGGCATTTAAATAAAATAATCAACGGCTAAAATATTAATTTTGTTCTTACCATGAAAGCCACCAAGATTTCAGACACAGTTTGTCCTTTCATGGCACATTCTTGTCCTATTTCACGAATGATATTCTTTATGACACTTTCAGCCTGAGAGTGGGACATTCTGTACCAACAATATATTAACAGGTTTGATGTTTATTACAATGCATCATACATTTGTCTTTCATCCTCTGTTTTCCCCATTGCAACATTTGCTGAAGTAGTGAGATTACATATTCTCTTCTAGCACCTTAAGCCTCTTAAATTTTCAATAACAACTTGACTAGGTAGCAGAGATGATTTATGGTTCACTGGACCACAAGTGACAAGAATATTTCCAAACAATAAGAAACTAACACAAAACAAGATTTGAAGGAAAAATACAAAAGCTGATTATAAAGGTTTAACCCAGATAGCTTTTGTCTGACAGATGAAATATTTCTTATTAGCTGAACAGTACTAACTCAGCAAATCAACACAAAAGCAGGTAAAAATGCATCAGCTTTAACAGAACAAAAATATTTTTCACATCAGCAGAGATTTCTTGGGAAGCTGAGGGAACAAAAATCTCACTACAGTCATTAACAGTACCTCTGACACCAGTGTTCCCTCTAATTTTTTACATCCATGTGCAGAATGAATTTTGTTATGTGCACCAATATGGAGGTGATGTATGGCAGGGATGAGGCTGAGGGGTTCACAGTGTGGGAGGGAACTAAGGGCTGGGGCAGAGGGTTGGGATGCGGGGACGGGGGGGGGGGGAGTGTTGAGGGCTCTGGCTCAGGGTGAAAGCTCTGGGGTGGGGTTGGGGATGAAGGCTTCCAGGTGCAGGAGGGGGCTCAGGGCTGGGGCAGAGGGTTGGAGTGCGGTGGGATGAGGGCTCTGGCTGGGGGTGCGGGCTCTGGGGTGGGGCCAGGATGAGGGGTTTGGCATATAGGCTGCCCCAGGGCTGAGGCAGGGAGAGAGAGGACTCCCCCCAGCCCTTTCTCGCTGCTGAACCTCTCCCTGGCTCCCGCAGTTCCGGTGGGGCCGTGCTGGGCCGGTGAAGAGGCGCCTCTCCCCGGCCATGGCAGCTCTGGTGAGGCCAAGCTGGGCTGGTGGAAAGGTGCCTCTTCTCGTCCATGGCAGCTCTGGGGCACCTCTCCCCAGCTGTGGTAGCTTCAGTGGGTTGGGACGCCTCTCTCTGGCTGCAGCAGCTCCAGCTGGGCCGGGAGAGGGGCACCCTTCCCTGGCCGCAGCAGCTCCAGCTGGGTGGGGCTGGGGTGCCTCTCCCTGCATGCAAGGCCCTTGATAGCCTGCTGCGCGGCCACGCAGCTTAGAGGGAACTTAGTCTGACACGTGAGGCAGAATTCTGACCAGGACAAGTAGATACCTTTTGTTTGTAGATTAATGGCAAATTATTGAATTACAGATTATGAACTCCAGGACTCCAATGGCAGTTCTGAGAACTTCTAGTTTTTCATGTGTTTAAGATATGAAATAAAAGTATTACTTAATTTGAGAGATTATTAGGAATTCCAATTATTTGGATCAGGGGACTGGCAAGAGGATGTTGAGCCTTCTACATCCTAAATTCAGCTTTAACTTGGTGACTGAATATTGTTATCCTCTGATGCATATTCAGTGTGAAGTGAGTGTTGGTCTCAGTTCAGTTCCTAGTTATCAGGAGCCTTCAATTAGAGCTTTGTTGAATAGGAATTTTTTTCGACATATTTTTGTGAAAAATTTGATTTTTTTCCTACAAAAATTCCAATTTTTTTTCCAATCAAGTCTTCCCACAATACCCTATGGTTGGCACCAAATCACATCTTTCTTAGAAGTCTCAGAAAAGGTCATGGAAATGTAACTACACTCATACCCTATAGGGCAGGGGTTGCCAAGCTGAGCCTGAGAAGGAGCCAGAATTTACCAATGTAGATTGCCAAAGAGCCACAGTAATATGTCAGTAGCTCCCCCCACTTCTAGCGCCTCCCACCAAGGCGTCGCCCCGCCAATCAGCACCTCCCCCTCCCTCCCGATCAGCTGTTTTGTGGCATGCAGGAGGCTCGGGGGGGGGAGGAGCGAGGGCACAGCAGGCTCAGGGCATGGGGTTGGGAAAGGTGAAGTTGGGGCAGGGCCTGTCACAGAGCCAGGAGATAAGCAGTGAACACCCCCTGGCACATTGGAAAGTTGGTGCCTGTAGCTCCAGCCCTGGAGTCGGTGCCTATACAAGAAGCCACATATTAACTTCTGAAGAGCCGCATGTGGCTCTGGAGCCACAGGTTGGCCACCCCTGCTATGGAGGTAACTCCAGAATGAGGTTGGGGCATATTGGTAGTGTGGGGGAGCTTATACTACTGCTGCCAGGGCCGGATTAACCCAGGGGCTTTAGGGGCTGCAGCCCAGGGCCTCGGACTAGGGGGAGCCCTCCAAAAATAAATCCATAATTATATACAATTCAGTGTTCACCAACCCATTGATTGCAATCGACTGGTCGATCCTGGAGCCTCTGCCAGCCAATTGCGATCTACAGGCCGCTAAAAGTCCAGTGGCGCAGCAGGGCTCAGGCAGGATGCCTGAATGCTGTGGCCCCATGCTGCTCTTGGAAGCGCCCAGCTGCTGGCACATCTCTGCGGCCCCTGGGTGGGGGGGAGGCAGCTCCGCGCACTGTCCCCGCCCCCAGCACCATCCCCGTAGCTCCCATGTGCGCTTGCAGGCACGGGCAGCGTATGGAGAAACGCTCTCCCCCTCTCCCCAGGGGCGCACAGAGACATGCCAGCAGCCGGCAGCTTCCGGGAGCAGCATGGGGCCATGGCATGCAGCCTGCCTGAGCCCTGCTGCGCCGCCAGCTGGGAGCTACCTGTGCTAAGCGCCTCCCTGCTGGAGCCTGCACCTCGCACACCCTCCTGCACCCCAACTCCCTGCCCCAGGTCAGAATCCCCTCCTGCACCAAACTCCCTCCCAGAGCCTGCACCCCTCCCTCTCTCCCACACTCCAGTCCCCTGTGCCAGCCCTGAACCCCCTCCAGCACCCAAATTCCCTCTCAGAAAGAAAATAATATAACAGCTGTTCTAAGGTAAGAAGTAGGATATTTTGAATTAACTTAACTACATTCTACAAATACATTAGAAGGAGAAGACCAAAGACAGAGTAGGCCCGTTACTGAATGAAGGGGGAAAGACAAGAACAGAAAATGTGGAAATGGCAGAGGTGCTTAATGACTACTTTGTTTCAGTTTTCAATAAGAAGGTTAGTGGCAAGTGGACATCTAACATAGTGAATGCCAGTGAAAATGAGGTAGGATCAGAGTCTAAAATAGGGGAAAAACAAGTCAAAAATTACTTAGACAAGTTACAGAGGAACAGCCGTGTTAGTCTGTATTCGCAAAAAGAAAAGGAGTACTTGTGGCACCTTGGAGACTAACCAATTTATTTGAGCATGAGCTTTCGTGAGCTACAGCTCACTTCATCAGATGTTTACCGTGGAAACTGCAGCAGACTTTATATACACACAGAAATCATGAAACAATACCTCCTCCCACCCCACTGTCCTGCTGGTAATAGCTTATCTAAAGTGATCAACAGGTGGGCCATTTCCAGCACAAATCCAGGTTTTCTCACCCTCCACCCCCCCACACAAATTCACTCTCCTGCTGGTGCTAGCCCATCCAAAGTGACAACTCTTTACATAATCAAGTCGGGCTATTTCCTGCATAGATCAAGGTTTTCTCACATCCCCCCACCCCCATACACACACAAACTCACTCTCCTGCTGGTAATAGCTCATCTAAACTGACCATTCTCCAGGTTTAAATCCAAGTTAAACCAGAACATCTGGGGGGGGGGGTAGGAAAAAACAAGAGGAAACAGGCTACCTTGCATAATGACTTAGCCACTCCCAGTCTCTATTTAAGCCTAAATTAATAGTATCCAATTTGCAAATGAATTCCAATTCAGCAGTTTCTCGCTGGAGTCTGGATTTGAAGTTTTTTTGTTTTAAGATAGCGACCTTCATGTCTGTGATTGCGTGACCAGAGAGATTGAAGTGTTCTCCGACTGGTTTATGAATGTTATAATTCTTGACATCTGATTTGTGTCCATTTATTCTTTTACGTAGAGACTGTCCAGTTTGACCAATGTACATGGCAGAGGGGCATTGCTGGCACATGATGGCATATATCACATTGGTGGATGTGCAGGTGAACGAGCCTCTGATAGTGTGGCTGATGTTATTAGGCCCGGTGATGGTGTCCCCTGAATAGATATGTGGGCACAATTGGCAACGGGCTTTGTTGCAAGGATAAGTTCCTGGGTTAGTGGTTCTGTTGTGTGGTATGTGGTTGTTGGTGAGTATTTGCTTCAGGTTGCGGGGCTGTCTGTAGGCAAGGACTGGCCTGTCTCCCAAGACTTGTGAGAGCGTTGGGTCATCCTTTAGGATAGGTTGTAGATCCTTAATAATGCGTTGGAGGGGTTTTAGTTGGGGGCTGAAGGTGATGGCTAGTGGCGTTCTGTTATTTTCTTTGTTAGGCCTGTCCTGTAGTAGGTAACTTCTGGGAACTCTTCTGGCTCTATCAATCTGTTTCTTTACTTCTGCAGGTGGGTATTGTAGTTGTAAGAAAGCTTGACAGAGATCTTGTAGGTGTTTGTCTCTGTCTGAGGGGTTGGAGCAAATGCGGTTGTATCGCAGAGCTTGGCTGTAGACGATGGATCGTGTGGTGTGGTCAGGGTGAAAGCTGGAGGCATGCAGGTAGGAATAGCGGTCAGTAGGTTTCCGGTATAGGGTGGTGTTTATGTGGCCATTGTTTATTAGCACTGTAGTGTCCAGGAAGTGGATCTCTTGTGTGGACTGGACCAGGCTGAGGTTGGTGGTGGGATGGAAATTGTTGAAATCATGGTGGAATTCCTCAAGGGCTTCTTTTCCATGGGTCCAGATGATGAAGATGTCATCAATATAGCGCAAGTAGAGTAGGGGCTTTAGGGGACGAGAGCTGAGGAAGCGTTGTTCTAAATCAGCCATAAAAATGTTGGCATACTGTGGGGCCATGCGGGTACCCATAGCAGTGCCGCTGATCTGAAGGTATACATTGTCCCCAAATGTGAAATAGTTATGGGTAAGGACAAAGTCACAAAGTTCAGCCACCAGGTTAGCCGTGACATTATCGGGGATAGTGTTCTTGACGGCTTGTAGTCCATCTTTGTGTGGAATGTTGGTGTAGAGGGCTTCTACATCCATAGTAGCCAGGATGGTGTTATCAGGAAGATCACCGATGGATTGAAGTTTCCTCAGGAAGTCAGTGGTGTCTCGAAGGTAGCTGGGAGTGCTGGTAGCGTAGGGCCTGAGGAGGGAGTCTACATAGCCAGACAATCCTGCTGTCAGGGTGCCAATGCCTGAGATGATGGGGCGCCCAGGATTTCCAGGTTTATGGATCTTGGGTAGTAGATAGAATATCCCAGGTCGGGGTTCCAGGGGTGTGTCTGTGCGGATTTGATCTTGTGCTTTTTCAGGGAGTTTCTTGAGCAAATGCTGTAGTTGCTTTTGGTAACTCTCAGTGGGATCATAGGGTAATGGCTTGTAGAAACTCGTGTTGGAGAGCTGCCGAGCAGCCTCTTGTTCATATTCCGACCTATTCATGATGACAACAGCACCTCCTTTGTCAGCCTTTTTGATTATGATGTCAGAGTTGTTTCTGAGGCTGTGGATGGCATTGTGTTCCGCATGGCTGAGGTTATGGGGCAAGTGATGCTGCTTTTCCACAATTTCAGCCCGTGCACGTCGGCGGAAGCACTCTATGTAGAAGTCCAGTCTGCTGTTTCGACCTTCAGGAGGAGTCCATCTAGAATCCCTCTTTCTGTAGTGTTGGCAGGGAGACCTCTGTGGATTAGTATGTTGTTCAGAGGTATTTTGGAAATATTCCTTGAGACGGAGACGTCGAAAATAGGATTCTAGGTCACCACAGAACTGTATCATGTTCGTGGGGGTGGAGGGGCAGAAGGAGAGGCCCCGAGATAGAACAGCTGCTTCTGCTGGGCTGAGAGTATAGTTGGATAGGTTAACAATATTGCTAGGTGGGGTGAGGGAACCATTGCTGTGGCCCCTTGTAGCATGTAGTAGTTTAGAAAGTTTAGTGTCTTTTTTCTTTTGTAGAGAAGCAAAGTGTGCGTTGTAAATGGCTTGTCTAGTTTTAGTAAAATCCAGCCACGAGGAAGTTTGTGTGGAAGGTTGGTTCTTTATGAGAGTATCCATTTTTGAGAGCTCATTCTTAATCTTTCCCTGTTTGCTGTAAAACTTCAAATCCAGACTCCAGCGAGAAACTGCTGAATTGGAATTCATTTGCAAATTGGATACTATTAATTTAGGCTTAAATAGAGACTGGGAGTGGCTAAGTCATTATGCAAGGTAGCCTGTTTCCTCTTGTTTTTTCCTACCCCCCCCCCCCCAGATGTTCTGGTTTAACTTGGATTTAAACCTGGAGAATGGTCAGTTTAGATGAGCTATTACCAGCAGGAGAGTGAGTTTGTGTGTGTATGGGGGTGGGGGGGATGTGAGAAAACCTTGATCTATGCAGGAAATAGCCCGACTTGATTATGTAAAGAGTTGTCACTTTGGATGGGCTAGCACCAGCAGGAGAGTGAATTTGTGTGGGGGGGTGGAGGGTGAGAAAACCTGGATTTGTGCTGGAAATGGCCCACCTGTTGATCACTTTAGATAAGCTATTACCAGCAGGACAGTGGGGTGGGAGGAGGTATTGTTTCATGATTTCTGTGTGTATATAAAGTCTGCTGCAGTTTCCACAGTAAACATCTGATGAAGTGAGCTGTAGCTCACGAAAGCTCATGCTCAAATAAATTGGTTAGTCTCTAAGGTGCCACAAGTACTCCTTTTCTTTAGACAAGTTAGACGTCTTCAAATCACCAGGGCCTGATGAAATACATCCTAGAATATGCAAGGAGCTGACTGAGGAGATATCTAAGCCATTAGCAATTATCTTTGAAAAGTCATGGAAGACAGAGACATTCCAGAAGAGGAAAAGGGCAAATATAGTGTCCATCTATAAAAAGGCAAATAAGGACAACCTGGGGAATTACAGACCAGTCAGCTTAAACTTCTGTACTCAGAAAGATAATGGAGCAAATAATTAAGCAATCAATTTGAAAACACCTAAAAGACAATAAGGTGATAAATAAGTCAGCATGTATTTGTCAAGAACAAATCATATCAAACCAACCTGATAGCTTTCTTTGATAGGGTAACAAGGCTTGTGAATGAGGGGAAGCAGTAGATGTGGTATATCTTGACTTTAGTAAGGCTTTTGATACTGTCTCGCATGACACTGGTTGGAAAATTGTTCTCAGAGCGTAGTTATTAGTGGGTCACAGTCATGCTGGAAGGGCATAACGAGTGGGGTCCTACAGGGATTGGTTCTGGGTCTGGTTCTGTTCAATACCTTCATCAATGATTTTGATAATGGCATACAAAGTATACTTATAAAGTTTGCAGGCAACACCAAGCTGGGAGGGGCTGCAAGTGCTTTGGAGGATAGGATTAAAATTCAAAATGATCTGGACAAACTGGACAAATGGTCTGAAGTAAATAGGATGAAATTCAATAAGGACAAATACAAAGTACTCCACTCAGGAAGGAACAATCAGCTGCACACATACACAATGGAAAATGACTGCCTAGGAAGGTGTACTGCGGAAAGGGATCTGGGGTCATAGTGGATCACAAGCTAAATATGAGTCAACAGTGTAGCACTGTTGCAAAAAAAGCAAACATCATTCTGGGATGTATTAGTAGGAGTATTGTAAGCAAGACATGAGAACTAATTCTTCTGCTGTACTCCATGCTGATTAGGCCTCAACTGGAGTATTGTGTCCAGTTCTGGGTGCCACATTTCAGGAAAGATGTGGACAAATTGGAGAAAGTCCAGAGAAGAGCAACAAAAATTATTAAAGATTGGAAAAATTGGGTTTGTTTAGTCTGGAGAAGAGAAGACTGAGAGGGAATATGATACAGTTTTCAAATACATAAAAGGTTATTACAAGGAGGAGTGAGAAAAATTGTTCTTCTTAACCTCTGAGGATGGGACAAGAAGCAACGGGCTTAAATGGGCTTAAACCAGCAAGGGCAGTTTAGGATGGACATTAGGAAAAATTTCCAGTCAGAGTGATTAAGCACTGGAATAAATTGCCTAGAGAGGTTGTGGAATCTCCCTCATTGGGGATTTTTAAGAGCAGGTTGGACAACCACATGTAAGGGATGGTCTAGATAATACTTAGTTCTGCCTTGAGACCACGGGACTGGACTAGATGACCTCTCACGGTCCCCTCCAGCGCTATGATTCTACATGTTTTAAGACTGAAACGTAATCACAGAATGGCTTTATGTTAATTAAAAGGCAAGTTTAGTATAGCGTTAATAGCCTCAACGCCAAATTGTGATCATTTTGTTTTCAATTAGGAAAAAGTCTTGTATACAGGGGCCCCACAAAATCTAATAGCCTCAGGTGCACAGGAGAGTTAATCTGGCCCTGACTGCTGCCCATGCTGCACCTCTTCCAAGAGTAAACACAGGACTCCAGGGGCCATCAATCGGGCACTTTTCACAAGCACAGAACTCACCTGAGAAGTAAAACAATTTTTTTTTAAAATATGTGTATGCTTCTGCAAAATTATATCAACTGGGCATGCCTGTAATGACCCCCCCACCTGTGATAAACAAGAAGCTACAAGGGGTCCAGCTCCAGAACAACCGCTCGCCTCTTCCCCTCCCCCTCAGGCCACCCAGGCAGAGGGGAGCGCGGAGAGGGTCCGGATGGGGGCATGGCGCGGGCGACGCTCAATTCCGTTACGCTGGCTGCCTCCTGCCCGACACAAGCCGGTTGGACGGGGATACTCCGCGGGGAAGCGCGCGCGCAACTTGCTCCTTCCCCGCGCATTTTGCGCGCCCTCACTTCACGTACAATGCGCACGCGCGAGGGGGGGGACGTCTTTCTGCACCAGGGAAGCGGCTGAGTCCCTCCCCCGGCAGCCGGCGCGGCGTTAGCTCCCTGTCCCTCCCCCACCCCGGGGAGCCCTCTACCCGACCCCATGAGAGATTCCCAGCCTCTGCTGCCGCGCCGCCCCGGCTCCCCTGGCCCGGCTCCCGCCCCGCCACGGCCGGGGCCCCGCCTCTACCCGGTCCAGCAACTGAGTCTCCTGCCCCAGCCGGGCTAGACAGCGGAGCGTCGTCCCCAGCCGGCCGGCCGGCCGCGTTTCCATGGAGACAGAACGCGGCTCCCCAGCGGGCGGGGCTTCTCTCCGAGCCGGGCTGAGCGAGCAGGGGCGGGGCGGGGCGGCCCTACCGCGCGGTGATTGGCTGGCGAGAGGTAACTGCTGCCCCATTGGTTGTGGCCAGGACACGGGCGCTCGAGGGAAAGGGCCGTTAACGCGTGGCCCCTGCGGTGCTGGCGTCACAGAGTGCTCGGCTGGCCTCGCGCCCCGCAGCCAACCCCGCGCCTGCCGCCCACCCTGCTGCTGCTCCGCCGCCGCGCGAGGGCCATTTCAGAGCCCGCCTTGTACAAAGCCGAGGCTGGTGGGGCAGAGAGACCCGCGGGCACGCGGGGCCCTCTGCCTACAGGCGCTGCCGGCAGGGCCAGAGTGCTGCAGCGTGGCCCCTCTGGCCCCTTGCTGGCTTCCTTTGAATGATGGAGCGGGTTTGTCCCGTATCCATCGGGCCCTGTGTGTTCTGTTTACCTTTTAGTTATTTTCTCCCGGGGAATGTATCCGCTTTAGTGTGTCAGATCTTTAACCTGTTGTCTGACAGCTTGAAAGGTGGACGTGGTGGGCGTGAGATTCATCAACGTAGGTTCTAGTGCTCAGAGCCTCCCTGCCTGCCGGTGTACTGTGTGTGTCTTCTGGGGGAATGCGTAGCCTGACTTCAACAGGCAGCTTTGCACATACACGCAGGCGAGTATGTATTAAAATAATATATATCATGCAATGTATTGTATGTTCCTCATAAAGCAAGTTTATATATATATATATATATGTGAATGATATATAAAATCATAGAATCATAGAATATCAGGGTTGGAAGGGACCCCAGAAGGTCATCTAGTCCAACCCCCTGCTTGAAGCAGGACCAAATCCCAGTTAAATCATCCCAGCCAGGGCTTTGTCAAGCCTGACCTTAAAAACCTCTAAGGAAGGAGATTCTACCACCTCCCTAGGTAACGCATTCCAGTGTTTCACCACCCTCTTAGTGAAAAAGTTTTTCCTAATATCCAATCTAAACCTCCCCCACTGCAACTTGAGACCATTACTCCTCGTTCTGTCATCTGCTACCATTGAGAACAGTCTAGAGCCATCCTCTTTGGAACCCCCTTTCAGGTAGTTGAAAGCAGCTATCAAATCCCCCTCATTCTTCTCTTCTGCAGGCTAAACAATCCCAGCTCCCTCAGCCTCTCCTCATAAGTCATGTGTTCCAGACCCCTAATCATTTTTGTTGCCCTTCACTGGACTCTCTCCAATTTATCCACATCCTTCTTGAAGTGTGGGGCCCAAAACTGGACACAGTACTCCAGATGAGGCCTCACCAATGTCGAATAGAGGGGAACGATCACGTCCCTCGATCTGCTCGCTATGCCCCTACTTATACATCCCAAAATGCCATTGGCCTTCTTGGCAACAAGGGCACACTGCTGACTCATATCCAGCTTCTCGTCCACTGTCACCCCTAGGTCCTTTTCCGTAGAACTGCTGCCTAGCCATTCGGTCCCTAGTCTGTAGCGGTGCATTGGATTCTTCCGTCCTAAGTGCAGGACCCTGCACTTATCCTTATTGAACCTCATCAGATTTCTTTTGGCCCAATCCTCCAATTTGTCTAGGTCCTTCTGTATCCTATCCCTCCCCTCCAGCCTATCTACCACTCCTCCCAGTTTAGTATCATCCGCAAATTTGCTGAGAGTGCAATCCACACCATCCTCCAGATCATTTATGAAGATATTGAACAAAACCGGCCCCAGGACCGACCCTTGGGGCACTCCACTTGATACCGGCTGCCAACTAGACATGGAGCCATTGATAACTACCCGTTGAGCCCGACAATCTAGCCAGCTTTCTACCCACCTTATAGTGCATTCTTCCAGCCCATACTTCCTTAACTTGCTGACAAGAATACTGTGGGAGACCGTGTCAAAAGCTTTGCTAAAGTCAAGAAACAATACATCCACTGCTTTCCCTTCATCCACAGAACCAGTAATCTCATCATAAAAGGCGATTAGATTAGTCAGGCATGACCTCCCCTTGGTGAATCCATGCTGGCATGCTGGAATCCATCAGGACAAAAACCAAATAATACTTTTTTATAAAACCCAGGATTTTTTCAGTAAAAATCCATTTCAGCTGAAAACAAAGGGGCTTACAAATCCAGAGGTTGCAAGGCCACAGAACTTCCCCCACACTACACTGAGTGCATACAGTTACAAATTAGGGATGTGAAAGATTAACCAGTAAGCACAGTCTTACCGGTTAACCACCCTAACGGTTAACCTGTCTGCCAGCCAGTGCAGGCCCAGCCATGGTGCCTAGCCAGAGCAGCACCGCTCAGCCGGAGTGGGCCCAGCTGCACTGTCTGGCTAGAGCAGTCCCAGCTGTTTAAACGGTTAACCATTTAAATGACATTTTTTAATCTTTTAAACGGTTGACTTTTTAAATGGTATTTACATCCCTATTACAAATATTGTAACTTTCAATTCAATAAATACTTCAATTTTTAAAGGGTTTCCATGCATTATATAGACCATTTTATTGTAAGAGCAGGGCACAGTAGTCAAACATATTCATAGAAAAGCAACATACACACCAACATTTGAGATAAATGGGATATAAGGGCACAATGGAAAAGTGTTGGCTCCTCTGCAACTCTACAAATTACCTTAAATAATGTTTAGAGTATCTCCATATCCAAACAACTGGATGTAGAGGTGGAATGGACAATACACATATTACAGCGGAGAGAAAGTCTTGTGATTAAGGGACTAGCCCAGGGGTGTCTAAACTGACTGACCGTGTGAGCCGCATATGACAATCTTCAGATGTTTGAGAGCCAGGGTGCACCTGCTGGTGCTCAGGGCTTCAGCCACACGGGAAGGAGGGTCTTCGGGCTTCAGCCCCACTGGAGGCACCTTCCAGGCCTTGGGACTTCAGACCCTCTCCTGCTGGAGTCTCGGCAGGCACACCCCGCATGCCTGAAGCCCCGAGCCCCAGCAGGCATGTCCTGCAGGACTGAAGCTCCAAGACTCCCCTCCCTGCTGGGCAGAACCAGAGGTGACACATGGAGGGGGGCGAGCACGTGGGGCCAGGTGCCCCACCTCAGATTTATGCCAGGGTTTACTGGCCCTGCTTGGTCACATGGTGCCACCAGGCCCCCTCACTGCACTGCAGCAGCTGGAGCCGGCATTCTGGGAGCTGTAGCTGCGGGAGAGGCAGCAGCAAACAGCTGGGAGCTGCAGGGAGAGCCACTGTTTTTGCTGCCTGTCCCTGTGGAGCTAAAGCAGCGGCCCTTCCCTGCAACTCCCAGCTGTTTGCCACTGTCTCTCCACAGGTTTCAGAGTAACAGCCATGTTAGTCTGTATTCGCAAAAAGAAAAGGAGTACTTGTGGCACCTTAGAGACTAACGAATTTATTTGAGCATAAGCTTTCGTGAGCTACAGCTCACTTCATCGGATGTATACTGTGGAAAGTGTAGAAGATCTTTTTATACACACAAAGCATGAAAAAATACGTCCCCCCACCCCACTCTCCTGCTGGTAATAGCTTATCTAAAGTGATCACTCTCCTTACAATGTGTATGATAATCAAGTTGGGCCATTTGGTTTTCTCACCACCACCCCCACACACACAAACCCACTCTCCTGCTGGTAACAGCTTATCTAAAGTGACCACTCTCCTTAAAATGTGTATGATAATCAAGGTGAGCCATTTCCAGCACAAATCCAGGGTTTAACAAGAATGCTCAAATAAATTGGTTAGTCTCTAAGGTGCCACAAGTACTCCTTTTCTTTTTGTCTCTCCACAGGAAGCTAACACCTGGGAGCTGAAGGGAGGGCTGCTGAGGGTAAGAGAGTGCGTGTACCTGAGGGGGCATGACTCAAGCTTGGAGGGATGTACCTTTACATTTTCCCCCCTACTCTCAGCAGGCACCAGTTGTCTCTGGGAGAAGCCCCTGGCCCCACCATCCTGCTGCAGGGCAGAAGCCCCAAGCCTTCCCCCACCCCTAGTCTGGTAGGTGAGAATGGGGGGTGTGGACCCTGCGAACTGCACTTTAACTGTAAAAGAGCCATGTGTGGCTCATGAGCCACAGTTTGACAACCCCTGGTCTATAGGGAGACCAGGCACCTAACTCAAGCTTTGTGGATTCCAGTGATTTTTGAAGTTCCTAAAAGTTTGGTATTGCACCACTCAACATCAAAACACCTACATCCCTCAGTGCCTCTGGATTTAGCTGTGTAACTTCAGACAACCACATTTTGAAAATGTTGGGCTTGGAGTCTGGGATTTATAGGATGGGATGTTATTTTGGGGGCACCCACTGTAGATTTTTATGCAAAAATGTTATACAAAATTGTGCGGTTTTTTTCTCTTTGGTATTTTGGTGAACTCATGTAGGCTGATCTGAGTTAATAATTATTGCTTGTTACATCCCACTATGAGAATTGTCAAGCACAAATAGAAAGGAAAATGGACAATTTGTTCTTACCTACTAATTTCCTTTCTTTAATTAATCATGTGTTGACAGCCATAACCATACTTTTCTTAGAAACTGGCTCAGTAAAAATCTGGTCAGATGGATAATTACTTAATTTTTGGATTGTTAATATAAAAAGTAGCATGTTTAAGCTTTCTGATTCGGGGAAGAGTGTTCCAAGATGGCAGCTGTACCCCAACTACAGTAGAACTGCTCTGGACTTGCCTCCCTCCCCCCGTGGTTGAGAGGAGGAAAAGGCTAGTGTGATGATTGTCAGTTATGAGTAGTCAGCAAAAACAAATGATTAAGAATGCAAGAAGAAATTTTTCCATCCCTGACTTTTTTCATATTAACTTGAAACATTAATGTTGCATTAACTTATTTTTTTCAAATGTTTCCCTTATTTCCATTTTTTAAAAGAAAGAAAACCCCTGGCTATGGCACTTAGGAGTTGTGTAATTGGGTTTTACACTCCTCCAGAGCAGGGGTGGACGAACTTTTTGGCCCGAGGGTCGCATCTGGGTATGGAAATTGTATGCCCGGTGGGGGAGGGGAACTCTCTGGGGTGTAGCATGACGGGGGTGCTCTATATGGGATATTACCGAGGTGGGGGGAGGGGAGACTCATGGGGTGTGGTGTGGGGAGGGCTTTACATGGGCGGTACCGGGGACTTCTAGGGGCCCTGCCGGCAGTGACAGCAAGGTGGCCACATAAGGTACTGCCACGGAGGCTCCCTAGCTGGGATGGGTGCGGCCCCTGGGATCTCAAGGCTCTCGAGGCTAGAGCTGTAGGAGACCAGGAGGGGATTGGGCGCACTGTTGCGTTGGGGAGGGGCTGCTGTGTAAGGGTGGGGTTCCAAACCTGGAAACAACGCGGTGAAGTCACACCTGTGCAGTGTGGCTCTGTGTGCCGGAAGATGGCACTCATCAAGGGAGTTGTGAGTCAGGGGCTAGGGAGCACTGGGGGGGCAGAGTGGGTCAAGCCCCCAACCCCGCTTCCCGGTGGGAACTCGAGGGCCAGATAAAAATGTCTGATGGGCTGGAAGTGGGCCGTAGTTTGCCCACCCCTGCTCCAGAGCGTTGTAGACGTTTTATGCTACCAATAGTCCAATAGAAATTTTGTATCATGTTTAAGCAAATCTTGATTAGTTTACAACATAATGGTGGTCAGTTACTTTACTGTTGGGACCATCTAGGTATTTAGATAGATAGAAAAAAAAAATCAAATTTACCCAAGTGATTATTCCTCATTAAGAACAAGACCTTTGTGAAAGCTGAAATTTTTAAATTAAGCTCCTTTTAAGTTATGGGTGCAGGTTGCACTAGAGCAGGGGTTCTCAAACTGGGGGTCGGGACCCCTCAGGGGGTCGCGAGGTTGTTACATGGGGGGGGGTCGCGAGCTGCCAGCCTCCACCCCAAACCCCGCTTTGCCTCCAGCATTTATAATGGTGTTAAATATATTTTAAAATGTTTTTAATTTATATGGGGGGGTTGTGCTCAGAGGCTTGCTACGTGAAAGGGGTCACCAATACAAAAGTTTGAGAACCACTGACCTAGAGCCATATATGGGTGTATCTGGTTTAGGAGACAGGAAACTGAGTTTTGACTGCCAGAATTTCCTGCTTATCATTTTGTCAAGAGATGAAAGGGCAGAGGTTTAAGCTATCAAACCCAGTGGATTTCCTAAGATCCATGGAATCCCTCAAAGCCACTCTGCTGGTGCAGTGCTGCCACAGACTGACTGTCTCACAGATGTGTCATAAGGAAGGGGAGCCTAGATGATAAAAACTGCTTTAAGAAGTGTGAACTCCCCGTTGGACATCCTCAGGGTCTGCAGGAAGAATATAACAAAGAGCAGCAGTTCTGGTCCTAGCCCTAAAATCCCCCCCAAACCAATGACCCAGTGGAGCTCAACCAGAGGAGAATTCTGCACAGTTCCTGGGATAGGAGGAGCATATAGCAGATCTGGCACTTCTCTCTTCAGTAACCCCTGCCCAGGATTCACTTCGCTTTCACTACTTCAAATATTGCCTTTAATCTTTTTTTTTAACTGAGAAAAAGTGTATTGTTTCTTGTTCGCTGGAAAGTGGCTGAATGGATTTTCCTCACACTTCAAAAAATGTCTTTGGATTAATATCAAGCATGTGAAACTGCAGCTCAAAGATTTTTGAGACAGGAGGTTATTATAATGGAAGTTGAAGTGCAGTCTTAACTTTACATTTGTAGGAGAGAATATGAATATATCCTGCCTAAGCTTGGTGCATTAATTAATATGGGAATGATTATTTTTCCTTTACCTATAGTGACTCATGTTTAATGCAGTGAACAGAAATTGATTTATTTTTCAGCATTACCTATTGGAAGTGCTGATCTGCACTAGCAGTAAATCTCACATCGATCCTGTCTTTATGTTCCTTGTCATTATCTGTTGCTTCATTTTTTATATCCCTGTGTTCAAACCTCTTTCTGAATGGCAGGATAAAATCTGCTTGTCCTGGGGTCAGCTTAGGAAACGTAATATCAATGTAGTTTTGAAAAGATTGTCTTGTTTCTTCTATTTCAGCTTCCAGGTTGTCTTTCCAAGCTGTCATGCTTTCTAGCTGTTGGGTAAGAGTCTGTACTTGAGCTTCCGTCTCTCTCAGGCTGGTCGTCATTTCTCCATATATGGCCTGATGTGTTATCTCTGCTTCTTTGAGCTGTTTTTCAGCCTCCTCTTGTTTCTCTTTTTGAGTGATGTCCAAGGCAACACTCATTTCATAATGTTTTTCTTTTTTTAATTGATCCAGGTTCTTCTGATGTATTTTGTTAGCCAATACCCCAGCTTCCAGGAGTTGCTCTGTGTGCTTTCTGTTAAAAAGTTAATTGATTTGTAAAGTAACTTTAGGATAGGTTTAATACATTATGAATGATTATTAAAGATTCCTTAAAGTTTATTCACTATACAGCTATAAAGTTTCTGATTTTGTTAGAATTATAAGTGAAGTTATAACATGAAATAAAATGATGACAGGACTAAAACAGGATAACAGAAAGACCAGATCCTCTGGTCAGATCCTCTGATACTGTAAATCAGCATGCTTAAATGGAGCTATACTGATTTACACCAATGGAAGATCAGTTCCAATATGTATACCAGATGGTATTATTTTGATGGTGCATGTGTCAAGGTGAAAAGTGTTATAATACTCAAAATAAATGTAAAATTAAACCAATAAGGTGTGTGTGTGGAGGGGGGGGAAGAACATGAAGAATCAATTTTGTATTCTGCATTTTAACTTCAAATAATTTTTTATAGTGCTGTCCCAAATAGGAATGTTTTCCTGAATTGGGGCTAAACATTGATTTGTAGCCTGGAAATGTCCTAATTTTTGTTTAAGTTTTATCAGACACATCTGTGTTCAGTACAATAAGGCAAGAAATAAGGCAAGAAAATGTATAAAATGTATAACATTGCCCAAACACAGTGGATGCAATTCAGCAAAGCTGGCTCAGTACAAACTACAAAGGGTATCCCCATGGTGAGCTCAGCGCCAGTCAAATTCATTGTGCCAAAGGGGAAATTCTCCTAGCTGTTCCACTTTGCGGAGGAGTTTTAATTTTCACCAGGTCCCATAGGAACTCAGCTGACAGGAGAATCAGAAGATACCAGCTAAGATGATGTAGTAGTCTATCTGTGGAAAATAAGGACTGCAGGACTGGGCCCTGTTTTCATTGTGAGAATGAAAATATTACATAATATGTCAACTATAGTATGGATTTATTCTGAAAAATGGCTTTTAAAAAGGGAAAGGAGTACTTGTGGCACCTTAGAGACTAACCAGTTTGTTTGAGCATAAGCTTTCGTGAGTGCTCACGAAAGCTCATGCTCAAATAAATTGGTTAGTCTCTAAGGTGCCACAAGTACTCCTTTTCTTTTTGCGAATACAGAATAACACGGCTGCTACTCTGAAACCTTTTAAAAAGGGAACATTCTTATCAAAAAATCTGTTCTCTGTGAGTTTTTAGAATTACTTCTGACAGTGACAAAAGTAAATCTTACTACTCTCTAATCTTATGGAAGAGGGGAGCAGGATATTATTAAGTATCAACACTGTTAACATAATTAACTAAATTCCAGTTGTAGGGCCAGCTGTTGCCCTCAGTTTAACCTGTAAAATCCCATTGCTTTCAAATGAAGACCTGCTAAATTTAACCTGCTAAATCTTTATTTCTGGTGATGACACATAAAGAACAAAGCTTGACTTTCAGATCTCAGGTTAAGTTTGTGGTGCCGGCAATTAGTAAAAAAAAAAAAAAAATGTTGCTTCTAACCTAAGTAAATGTGATGTGAAATTGTGAGATACAATAAGCCTGAAAGCCCACAATGCTAATTTCACTCACTTTTCAGAGTAAAGTCACCTTTTGAATTTCCGGTATGAAATATTTTTAAAAGATATTGATCTGTTTCTTGAAAGTCTGGGAATGAGCAAGGTTGATGTTGTCAAGTCTTGTTTCTTTAGTTACATGTTTCAATATACTTTGTATGAATTCCATAGGTAGAATTCTAGTTAGGATATCAGTGCTTAGAAGATGAAGATGGGTGCCATAGAAAGCCCTTAGGATACTTTGCTTACTGTTGGTATATGCATTTTTGCTAATTATAAAAATGGATGAACGGTTAAACTTTAGAAAATGGCAAGAATACTTTTTCTGCGTGGCCATTGCTTGGGATGCTGTCTGCCTCTCCTGTTTTCTGGCATCAGCTACAGCGTGCATCTTTTCCAAAGCACACTCCATCAGGATGCGCTGAAGTTTGTGAGCCATGCGCTGCTCTGCAGCTTCAGATTCCCTCTTCAGCTCATCTTCCAGGTGCCGCTGCATCTCTCTCTCCTTTTTTATCACCGCTTCCTTAAGAAACAGTTAAAGTAGATTTAAAATAGTGAATAAAAATTTATTGTTCAATCCCCGTTTTTAAAGAAAAAAACAAGGTCAGAGGAAGAACAGCATTTCAATAGATCATTAAAGGAAAATTCCATGACTTGTTATGCCCTCGATTAGGGGTGGTCACTGGTCACAGTTTGGTCAGAGGTCAAAATCAGCCTTTGGTCACCCTTAGTTTAGTACAAAGGTGTAAACTGCAGGTCTACTAGCCAAATCTTCATAATGAAGATAAGGACAGCTGAAATCTGTGATGAATTGTGGTGTTTAGATGTTGCTTGTAATTATTAGAATTGGGAGCACTGGCTGCTGGGAGTGTGAAAGGACAGGAAACGGGAAGGAGGGGGAGGAGCAGGGCCGGCTCTAGGTTTTTTGCCGCCCCAAGCAAAAAATTTGCCGCCCCAAGCTCAGGTGGGGCTGGGGCTCGCAGGCGGCGCTGGAAGTGGAGGCAGTGATGTCACCTTCTCCCAGCGCCTGCAGGGGCTTTCCCCCCTCCCCCGCCCGGCCGCGCAGAGAAGCCCCGATATAAGGGGTGGCACAAGGCAGCGCAGCAGCCAGTGTGCAGATGAGGCAGCGCAGCCCTGGCTCCCCGACAGGATGCGCCCTCTCCTCCCCAGGTGGCGGCTGGGCCCTGGCAGCTCAGCATCCCGGGGCCGGGGCTTCCCCTTCCCGCTGTGGCCGGGGGCGCGGCACCCTCGCCCTGTCTAAGTGGTGCAGCTCCTAGAGCGCAACTGCCCCCAAAAAAAAGGATGGCTGGAACGCCGCTCCTGGAAATGTGCCGCCCCAAGCACATGCTTGCTTTGCTGGTGCCGAGAGCCGGTCCTGGGGAGGAGCTGAAGAGGCTGAGGGAGAGCTACTGAGGGTGCAGCAGCAGCTTGGAAAAGAGGTTTCCACTTTAAAAAATAAAGTCCTGTTGAAGTTTGTTAGTACCTTGGCCTGGCTACTACAACATTCTGGCGACGAGGATGGATCTTCTGCCTCTGAACCCACCTGCACCCTTTCTGCAAAGTCCAGGTGAGCCTCCAATTGCTTTTACTGCCTGGATCCATAAGTTTGAGACTTATCTGCTTCCAATCAGTGCTACAGAGATTTCTGAAGTAAGAAAGCGTGCTCTGCTAATCCACTGCCTTAGAGCAGAAGGGCAGCGTATAGTTTACACTTTTCCCCTTGCAGATGATAAATATGAGACTGCACTCACTGCATTAAAGAATGTTTTTGTACCAAAAGTGAATGTAGTACCTAATTGCTACAGATTTCACCAGTGTGAGCAGAAACCAGGGGAGACTATAATGCAGTATATTGCTTCCCTGAGGAGTCTGATTGTAACTTGTGACTTTGGGAATATGGCAGATGAGATGATTAGAGACCAGCTCATTGAGAAAACAACCATGCTTCGTGTAAGAGAACGTTTACTTCTAGAACCACAACTTACACGAGAAAAAGCAACAATTGGGGATTGGTCCTGCTTTGAGCAGGGGGTTGGACTAGATGACCTCCTGAGGTCCCTTCCAACCCTGATATTCTATGATTCTATGATTCAATAACCATTGCTACCCAGATTGAGTCAGCTACAGCTGAACCCAAAATAATGAGCATGGATACAGGAGGCACAGTCCAGGCTGTGACTCCTTTGCAGAAAAGTTCACTATCGTCGCAGACAAACAATTACAAGAGGAAAACTAATGAAAAACCACCAAATCAGCAAATTCAAAATACAGTAAAAGCATGCTTTCACTGTGGATCCCCACAACACCTTGCAAGCTACACAGGATGTCCGGCAAAAGTAGCTCAGTGCAATCACTGGAAAAAGATTGGGCATTTTGCTAAAGTATGTCGCAGCAGCCAGTTCAATCAACAGGTGCATGCAGTTACAATACCAGATGTTACTGTGCTGAGCATGGACGAAATCACTACTACACATATTCCAGAACAAATAAAGTACACAGTAAACGTTTCCACCATACCCTCAGGCAAATCACACTCTATTCAGCTAATGTTGGACACTGGCTCAGCAGTATCTAATCTACCTGATTCCATCTATTTGCATTACTTTAAAGATGTGCCTCTTACTGAACCCAAGCTTCACTTGGTGTGCTATTTGAAAAACCATATTCCAGTACATGGCTGCCTGCCAGCAATATTTACTTTTGGTGATTGCTGTGTAACTGCAGAGTTCTACATTGTCCACAAAGGCACTGCTATCCTTGGCAGAGATTTATTGGCTGCTTTAAATCTCAGGGTAGTTAATGGACGAATTGATCTTCCTCAGCAAAGCACTCTTGCGGTACACACACCAGTTTCAGCTGGGACCCAACACCAGGTTGAGGAGAAACTCGGCTGTGCTTATGGGTTTCTGCATAAAGCTAAAATGCGGAATAATGTGATGCCAGTACGACAGAAATTACGGCGCTTACCATTTTCAGTCAGGGAAGCTGTTTCAGAGGAACTTAGAAAACTTGTTCAATAGGACATTATTGAGGAGATTAACTTCTCAGAATGGGTTTCACCTATAGTAGTGATGCAGAAGAAGGGTGGAGGCACTCGCCTTAAATGGACTTAAGGGAGCCAAATAAAGCTATTGTGATTGACAGCCATCCTCTTCCTCACATAGAAGAAGTATTTGCAGAACTCCGTGGAGCAAAGATGTTTTCTACTCTTGATTTGCAGAGCGCATACCACCAGGTTATGTTGTATGAAGATAGCAGAGACCTCACAGCATTTATTACACATGAGGGACTATTCCATTTTAAATTTTTTTCATAGGGTCTCGCATCAGCCCCAAGTGCCTTCCAAAAAATGATGTCATTGATTTTGAAGAATCAACATGGAGTTCAGTGCTATTTGGACGATATTATCATGTTTGGAAATACTTCGGAGGAGCATGACAATAACCTGCAGTCTGTATTAAACTGCATCAGCAAAACAGGCCTCAAGCTCAATAGGTCCAATTGCAAATTTAGACAAACTGAACTCTCCTTTCTGGGACATACAATTTCACAGGCTGGACTAAAACCTGATTCGGCTCATATCGTGGCAATTTCAAATGCTTCTCCTCCAACAGATTTGCAAACCTTACATTCCTGCTTGGTTCCTACCGCCTGGTATGCAAAATTCATTCCCAATTATGCTTCTGTCATTGAACCGTTACAAGAATTACTATGGGGAAGTTCAACCTTCGTGTGGACAATGGATGCACAAGCTAGTTTCGAAATGGTGAAAGACTTGATTGTACATAGTCCAGTACTTGCACTATTCAGTCCTACATTGCCCACAATTGTAACTACTGATGCTTCTGATTATGGACTTGGGGCTGTCCTCACACAACTTCATGAGGACAACACAGAGAGGACTGTTGCATTTGCTTCAAGGACACTAAGTAATGCTGAGAGAAAATATTCTACAGTCGAAAAAGAAGCACTTGCTTGTGTCTGGGCTACTGAAAAATGCAGAACTTACCTGTGGGGCCACACGTTCAAGTTGCACACAGACCACAGCCCTTTGACGACATTGCTCACCACAAAAGGACTGGGAAGAGCAGGATATCGTATTGCTAGATGGTCTGCAAGACTACTCTCTTTCAATTATGAACTGGAATATAAGCCTGGAAACCAAAATGTGATAGCTGATTGCCTTTCTCGCCTGCCTTTGCCTTCACCAGATGGTCCACTGGAGGATGAGGATGTAGTAGTTGCGCTTATCACAAGCACTCTTACTGCAGTTACGAGAAAACAATTTCAAGCTGCTTGTTTAGCATGTCCAATTCAACAAAAACTATGGGAATTTCTGACAAAGAGATGGCCCAGTAACCCTAAAAACCTTGACCCAGTTTTGCTGCCTTATTTTAGAGTTCGGGATGAACTTTCTTTGCTCGATGGCTGGGTGCTATGAGGTACACACCAGCTACTTGTGCCAGAAGAATTACAATCAAAACTCATATACCTAGCACACGATACTCATCAAGGAATTGTCAGAACCAAACAATGACTACGGGATCTGTATTGGTGGCCAGGGATGGACTCTTAAACTGAAGCACTCATAAAATCCTGTGTCACTTGCCAAATGCATGATAAGACAGCAGTGACATGTACCTCTCCATTACAGCCTGTTCCTCTTCCTGAATCTGCATGGGAAAAAGTGGTGATTGACATTGTAGGACCCTTTGATACTGCTCCAATTGACTGTCATTATGCCATCACCTTAATAGACTATTTCAGTAAATGGTCTGAGGTAGCGTTTACATCGCAAATCTCCTCTGCTATAGTAATTAAGTTCCTCTCTTCAGTTTTTAGCAGGGAAGGAAACCCCAAAGAACTGGTTTCAGATAATGGTAGTCAGTTTACTTCCCTGGAGTTTGAAACTTTTCTAGCAGAGAGGAACATTTTACACAGAAGGTCATCCCTATACTACCCTCAAGCCAATGGGGAAATCGAACTGTTTAACAGAAGTTTGAAAGAGAGTTTGCAAATGGCTAAACTGGAAGGGGCGATTATGGATAACCTTCACTACTGATTTCTTGCGAGCATACCGGGTTACACGACATGCCACAATGCAAAGATCACCCGCGGAGTTACTGCATGGGAAACAGATGAATGCTAAACTGAACATTGCTGGATTGTTAAAGGCTCGACCTGAGGCCCCCAGCCGAGGATGATGTGAGAAAAACAGTTGAACAGAGCCAAGCAAAGTATAAGGCTTTCACAGACAAGCGGCGGAGTGCTAAGGAACCAAAGTTTCAGTGTGGTTCCTTCGTTAGAATACGAAAACCTGGACTTTTACGCAAAGGGGACCATAAATTCACAGTTCCTCTTAAAATCATAGAGAAGAAGGGACCTTACACCTATCGACTTTCTGATGGGCGGGTATGGAATGCTTCTTATCTTGCCCCTGCCTATGCACCAAGAGGAGATTATGCCAATACCCAGTCTGCATTGGATGACTTCACTAGTATCAACACAACAAGACATTGCACTGGAACCGGGGCTTGAGAGACGGCCTGTCAGACCCAGACGAACACCTGTCTGGACTAGAGACTATGTTATGTAGTATCTATAGTGTTTTTAGTGTAATATTTCTGTCAACAGTATAGTGCCTCGTTTCCTATTTGTTCCTGTGGTTAGAACAACAATGTTTGTTGTAATTGGGAGAGTTTCTTAAGAGAGAAGGGAATGTGGTGTTTAGATGTTGTTTGTAATTATTAGAATTGGGAGCACTGGCTGTTGGGAGTCTGAAAGGACAGGAAACAGGAAAGACGGGGGAGGAGTTGAAGAGGCTGAGGGAAAGCTACTGAGGGTGCAGCAGCGGCTTGGAAAAGAGGTTTCCACTTTAAAAAATAAAGTCCTGTTGAAGTTTGTTAGTACCTTGCCTGGCTACTACAACATGAATGAAATCAGGCCTGGCCCTTGTTGCCAGTGTAGCCTTTTGTTGGTCAAAGTTTGGGTGTTCTTGCCTCTTACTTGTAATTACTTAAATAATTACAGGTAAGAATCTATATATTAAAAAGAAAATGTCAGAGCTAGTTTTAGAAAATTGTAAATATTTCAGTATCTCTCTGATTGTGACTGGTGTTGGTGTCTCCCAGTGAGAGGTGCCATTTTACTACAACATACTACTATATGTATAGAATGTAGTATAATGAGTTGGACCATCCCCTTCATAGACATGGACCCTCAACCCTGCGGAGAGGTCTTCTTAAGATTCAATGAAAGGGGAGGAGGGGGAAAATGAGATGTCTCTGATTCATATCCATCTCCTCCCCATGTTCAAAGGGTGACAGTGGTACAGCTGCATTTTTTGCATTCTCTGTGCACAGATCTCCGAGGGATGATTGGGCTCAGAGTATAGGAACAAAGTTCATCATAGAAATCATAACAAAAGGTAGGAGAGTTTGACTTATTGTAAAGTCAAATTTGTGCTTATGCTAACAGTAGTTAAATAGCTATAATGCTTTTATGTTTATTAGCTGATGCTGGAATTCAGGTTTATCCAATGAAAGACAATCAGTACCTCACCACACACATTTTCCCTTCCATATGTATTGCCACATATGCAAACACAGATCTTGCACTAAACTCCTCCCATAGCTCCCCAAACACTCATTTCATGTCTTTGTCCTCAAAAGAATGTAGTAATGGACCCTCCTCCATATTCCCCAAGCCCCTAATTCAGACCTCCCTCTCACTTGCAATAGCATTCAACCCTATTCCAGCTCCTAAGAGCCCCCATTATACATCTAGATCCTCCTGTAGGCCTCTCTCTCAACAACACAAAGCAAAAAACTTTGGTTCTTCTTAACCTCCCACTAAAACCCAGACCTTGTTCCATGCCTCCACTCTCCAGCATATTAGGGTTTTCTATCTTTGGTCCGTCTCTATCTTTTCCAATGCCATTACTCCATGCCTTTTCTGCTTTTCTGCCTAAGACACAAGAATGTCCTCCAGTGCCTCCTAAACTCCCACTGCAGATCAAGACTACTCCCCCTCCTCACAAGGGCCAGGGCAGGGTCTTGCTTAATGACAGGGTTTTTTGGAGAGGTGGACAAGGGGGCAGAGCACTGTATGCTTCAGAATATTCAACACCCTTCCCTCACAAAGCCAGACATTGATAATTCTGGTAAGTAAAGGCATGGCAGTACTAAGCAGCTTGGATGGGCAGGGGATGGAATCGAATGTGGTCTGTCTCAGAGACACTACACTAACTGTTAAAGTATTTTCAGCACCCATTCAGTGGGACCTGCTGCTGTCAGCCATTGCCGTCAGTCAGTTTGCTTAAACAGGGCTTAAATGAATCCCCGGTCATATACTCTCCTCTCCAATTTACTGCCCATCTGGTTCAAGACCCAGAGGTTATTGTTAAACCACTGTTAGGTTAACCACAAAAAGAGCAAACAAATTACCAAACTTAAAATACTTTATAACCACATTGAATATATCTTCCCTTTGTTGTAGTTTATCTCCTTTCTTGTGGTTTATATGCTGAGTGGCATGTCTTGTGTCCAGGGTTTGTTATGATTTTTGTATTTGTATCCATTTCGTTGGTGCAAACAGCACATATTAATGTCCTTATATACCCACAAAAAATCCTTAATAAAACTTGTGGCTAGTGTCACGAAGTGTGGGGGAGTCCGGGCCCTGCACCCCTCTTCCTAGGATTCACTGTGACTCTCAGCCAGCCAGTGAAATGGAAGGTTTATTGGACAATAGCAACACAGTCTAAAACAGAGCTTATGGGTACAACCAGGACCCCTCAGTCAAGTCCTTCTGGGGGGCAGGGAGCTTAGACCCCAGCCTTGGGGTTCCCTGGGTTTGACCACCCAGCCCGAAACTGAAACTCTCTCCAGCCCCTCCTCCTCTGGGCTTTGTCCCTTTCCCGGGTCAGGAGATCACCTGATTCCTTTGTTCTCCAACCCTTTAGCTCTCACCTTGCAGGGGGGAAGGGCCAGGCCACCAGTTGCCAGGAAACAGGGTGTTGGCCATTCTTTGTGTCCAGACTCCTGCACACACCTGCCCTCTAGGGCTCTGCAACGACATACACCTTATCCCACCACCTGGATACTTAAGAACTGCATAGGGGAAACTGAGGCACCCCCACACTATTCAGAGAAAACATTAAGAACAATCCCACTTCGTCACAGCTAGTGAGTGAATTGTGATACATCAGGAATTCTGAGAGTCTGCAACCTATAGTGGAGGCTATAAGATCTGGAGACAGAGCTTTCTTGGGGGCAAGACTGGAGTGAACTCCAACAGGAACGAAAGACCATCACAGACCTCACCACGTTCCACTCGGTGCAAGACACATTCTTTTGACCTTGCCTTCTCTAACATAAACACACAACAAAACACTCCACTGCACACATTTTTCCCACTGGGGAGAGAATGTGAGAATGAATGTGACACAGATGATGGTCCATTGCTTAATGCACTATTGGAAAGCCCTCAGATACTTCAGTGATATAAAAACCTATAGAATAGAATAGAATGCTGTAGAAGCTTAATTGCTGTTTGTAGTTGTATTCCTTTGTATTTATATTTGTGTTTGTATCTTTTATCAGATATCCCAGCATGCAAATTAAGCACATTGTTGAGTCTATATACAATAAAACATTATAATTTGCATGCTCAGTTTAGAGGGGGGTATGTATATATATATATACAGAAGTATATGTCTAATTATATTTATTTTAGAAATTCAGGCCATTTAGGCTGCAGTTCAGCAAACCATTTAAACATCTGCTTAGCTGTGGTATCAGTGGAATTTAAGAATGTGCTGAAAGTTAATCCCATCTTTAACTGCTGTGCTGAATAGAAATCGACATAAGCAGGTGCTTAAAGTTAAGCATGTGCTCAAGCAGTTTGCTGAATTGGGATCTTACAGGGCATCTGTCACAAAACAACTAAGTTTCATATAACAAAAATTAAAGTATAGAATGCTAAAGACCAATCAGAAAGAACTAGCTAACCCAAGTATCTGACCAGACAGAACCAAATAATCTGGCATAAGGAAAAACACAATGATCCTCAAGGCAAGCTACCCTATCAGACAACAGGACTCAGTTCCCAGCTGATACAAAATGATAGCAGTGGACAGGCACAAACAGAACATCTTTAAACATATAGTATGACAATGTATTTTGTTGATAAGGTGATTCAATTCCATAGTTGGACATTTCTACAGGAAAATATTTGGTCTATTAGAAGTGGAAGCAAATGACTCCAAACCTTTAGTTCCTTTTCATGCTTTTTTTTTAGGTCTTCTAAGAAACTGTTGTGTTCAGCAGTTGCCTGATCAAGGGCTTGTTCCACTGCATCTTCTTTTTCCTCTTTAGCCTTCAAATAAAAATAAAAATCATAGCCCAAATGCAGTTAGCTAAAGATCTGTGAACATGGTATTCTGACTTGGATCAGAGATTATTGGAATCAAAAGCTTGATTGTTTTTCATTAAAAACTTAGAGCCAGATAAATATATATAGAAATGATAACATGTGTTGTTTTGGGCTATTTGACAAAATTGTTACATTGATCTTTGGAAAATTGCCGGTACAGTGATCAATATTAAAAAGTAAGCATTTGCTAACACGGTACCACACAATGGCATTGAGATACCACAGCTTTGTTACCTATTATAAGCATAGTGGGCAACTCTGGATCTCACATAGCACTGTGTGGAAAAGGATTGGCAAATGTTGATATTTTAGTAGTGATCACAGTGTGTTTCAGAGAAAAAATTGTGATGTAAAATTTGTTTAAATTCTTGATAATGTTAAAAATGTGCCTTGCTGAGAGTAGATTTGGCAAGACAATAGACTGATAAAATAATGTCAATTGACTGGTCAGTTCACTGCTTATTGACTGACAATGATCAAATATTCCAGCAAGAATGCCCTGATATAGGCGGAGGCTGACCTTTTTGATTGCATCATGATGCCATCTGTTAGCAAATTTACTTAAAGGTCTTAGAGTAGCAGCCGTGTTAGTCTGTATCCGCAAAAAGAAAAGGAGGACTTGTGGCACCTTAGAGACTAACAGATTTATTTGAGCATAAGCTTTTGTGAGCTACAGCTCACTTCATCGGATGCATTCAGTGGAAAATACAGTGGGGAGATTTTATATACACAGAGAACATGAAACAGTGGGTGTTACAATACACACTGTAACGAGAGTGATCACTTAAGGTGAGCTATTACCAGCAGGAGAGCGGGGATGGGGGGGAACGGGGGACGGACCTTTTGTTGTGATAATCAAGGTGGGCCATTTCCAGCAGTTGACAAGAACGTCTGAGGAACAGCGTGGGGGGTGGGGGTGGGGATAAACATGGGGAAATAGTTTTACTTTGTGTAATGACCCAACCACTCCCACTCTTTATTCAAGCCTAAGTTAATTGTATCCAGTTTGCAAATTAATTCCAATTCAGCAGTCTCTCTTGGAGTCTGTTTTGCAAATTTGCAAAAATTCTCAAATAAATTTGTTAGTCTCTAAGCTGCCACAATGACAGGTTTCAGAGTAACAGCTGTGTTAGTCTGTATTCGCAAAAAGAAAAGGAGTACTTGTGGCACCTTAGAGACTAACCAATTTATTTGAGCATGAGCTTTCGTGAGTTACAGCTCACTTCATCGGATGCATACCGTGGAAACTGCAGCAGATATTATATACACACAGAGATCATGAAACAATACCTCCTCCCACCCCACTGTCCTGCTGGTAATAGCTTATCTAAAGTGATCATCAAGTTGGGCCATTTCCAGCACAAATCCAGGTTTTCTCACCCTCCACCCCCCTACACACAAACTCACTCTCCTGCTGGTAATAGCCCATCCAAAGTGACAACTCTCTTCACAATGTGCATGATAATCAAGGTGGGCCATTTCCTGCACAAATCCAGGTTCTCTCACTCCCTCACCCCCTTCCAAAAACCACACACACAAACTCACTCTAACACGGCTGTTACTCTGAAACCTGTCATTATGCAAGGCACTGCATTTAGCCGTATGGAGTGGAAATCTATCAACTGCATGAAAAAACTTGTACAGATACAGACAGACATCATCTTCCTTTCCAAATGCAAACAGATGGACATCGTACCAAAAGGACTGAAGGTAAAAAATCCATTACAATCTACATACCACACAGACTATGCTGACAGCTTGTGCCACACGCTCTCAAAGAAACTGCGGAATCACCTGATCAACATCCTCTACAGCAAACAGGGAAAGATTAAGAATGAGCTCTCAAAAATGGATACTCTCATAAAAAACCAACCTTCCACACAAACTTCCTCGTGGCTGGATTTTATTAAAACTAGACAAGCCATTTACAACGCACACTTTGCTTCTCTACAAAAGAAAAAGGACACTAAACTTTCTAAACTACTACATACTACAAGGGGCCACAGCAATGGTTCCCTCAACCCACCTAGCAATATTGTTAACCTATCCAACTATACTCTCTGCCCAGCAGAAGCAGCTGTCCTATCTCGGGGCCTCTCCTTCTGCCCCTCCACCCCCACGAACATGATACAGTTCTGTGGTGACCTAGAATCCTATTTTCGACGTCTCCGACTCAAGGAATATTTCCAAAATACCTCTGAACAACATACTAATCCACAGAGGCCTCCCTACCAACACTACAAAAAGAAGGATTCTAGGTGGACTCCTCCTGAAGGTCGAAACAGCAGACTGGACTTCTACATAGAGTGCTTCCGCCGACGTGCACGGGCTGAAATTGTGGAAAAGCAGCATCACTTGCCCCATAACCTCAGCCATGCGGAACACAATGCCATCCACAGCCTCAGAAACAACTCTGACATCATAATCAAAAAGGCTGACAAAGGAGGTGCTGTTGTCATCATGAATAGGTCGGAATATGAACAAGAGGCTGCTCGGCAGCTCTCCAACACCACTTTCTACAAGCCATTACCCTATGATCCCACTGAGAGTTACCAAAAGCAACTACAGCATTTGCTCAAGAAACTTCCTGAAAAAGCACAAGATCAAATCCGCACAGAAACACCCCTGGAACCCCGACCTAGGATATTCTATCTATTACCCAAAATCCATAAACCTGGAAATCCTGGGCGCCCCATCATCTCAGGCATTGGCACCCTGACAGCAGGATTGTCTGGCTATGTAGACTCCCTCCTCAGGCCCTACGCTACCAGCACTCCCAGCTACCTTCGAGACACGACTGACTTCCTGAGGAAACTTCAATCCATTGGTGATCTTCCTGATAACACCATCCTGGCCACTATGGATGTAGAAGCCCTCTACACCAACATTCCACACAAAGAGGGACTACAAGCCGTCAAGAACACTATCCCCAATAATGTCACGGCTAACCTGGTGGCTGAACTTTGTGACTTTGTCCTTTCCCATAACTATTTTACATTTGGGGACAATATATACCTTCAGATCAGCGGCACTGCTATGGGTATCCGCATGGCCCCACAGTATGCCAACATTTTTATGGCTGATTTAGAACAACGCTTCCTCAGCTCTCGTCACCTAAAGCCCCTACTCTACTTGCGCTATATTGATGACATCTTCATCATCTGGACCCATGGAAAAGAAGCCCTTGAGGAATTCCACCATGATTTCAACAACTTCCATCCCACCATCAACCTCAGCCTGGTCCAGTCCACACAAGAGATCCACTTCCTGGACACTACAGTGCTAATAAACAATGGTCACATAAACACCACCCTATACCGGAAACCTACTGACCGCTATTCCTACCTACATGCCTCCAGCTTTCACCCTGACCACACCACACGATCCATCGTCTACAGCCAAGCTCTGCGATACAACCGCATTTGCTCCAACCCCTCAGACAGAGACAAACACCTACAAGATCTCTGTCAAGCTTTCTTACAACTACAGTACCCACCTGCGGAAGTGAAGAAACAGATTGATAGAGCCAGAAGAGTTCCCAGAAGTTACCTACTACAGGACAGGCCTAACAAAGAAAATAACAGAACGCCACTAGCCGTCACCTTCAGCCCCCAACTAAAACCCCTCCAACGCATTATTAAGGATCTACAACCTATCCTGAAGGATGACCCAACACTCTCACAAATCTTGGGAGACAGGCCAGTCCTTGCCTACAGACAGCCCCCCAACCTGAAGCAAATACTCACCAACAACCACATACCACACAACAGAACCACTAACCCAGGAACTTAACCTTGCAACAAAGCCCGTTGCCAACTGTGCCCACATATCTATTCAGGGGACACCATCACAGGGCCTAATAACATCAGCCACACTATCAGAGGCTCGTTCACCTGCACATCCACCAATGTGATATATGCCATCATGTGCCAGCAATGCCCCTCTGCCATGTACATTGGTCAAACTGGACAGTCTCTACGTAAAAGAATAAATGGACACAAATCAGATGTCAAGAATTATAACATTCATAAACCAGTCGGAGAACACTTCAATCTCTCTGGTCACGCAATTACAGACATGAAGGTCGCTATCTTAAAACAAAAAAACTTCAAATCCAGACTCCAGCGAGAAAATGCTGAATTGGAATTCATTTGCAAATTGGATACTATTAATTTAGGCTTAAATAGAGACTGGGAGTGGCTAAGTCATTATGCAAGGTAGCCTATTTCCCCTTGTTTTTTCCTACCCCCCGCCCCCAGACGTTCTGGTTAAACTTGGATTTAAACTTGGAGAGTGGTCAGTTTGGATGAGCTATTGCCAGCAGGAGAGTGAGTTTGTGTGTGTGTGTGTGTGTGTGTGTCCTGGGGGGAGGGGGGGTAAGGGGGGGGTGAGAGAGCCTGGATTTGTGCTGGACATGGTCCACCTTGATTACCATGCACATTGTAGGGAGAGTGGTCATTTTGGATGAGCTATTACCAGCAGGAGAGTGAGTTTGTGTGTGTGGTTTTTGGAGGGGGGTGAGGGGGTGAGAGAACCTGGATTTGTGCAGGAAATGGCCCACCTTGATTATCATGCATATTGTGAAGAGAGTTGTCACTTTGGATGGGCTATTACCAGCAGGAGAGTGAGTTTGTGTGTAGGGAGGTGGAAGGTGAGAAAACCTGGATTTGTGCTGGAAATGGCCCAACTTGATGATCACTTTAGATAAGCTATTACCAGCAGGACAGTGGGGTGGGAGGAGGTATTGTTTCATGGTCTCTGTGTGTATATGATGTCTTCTGCAGTTTCCACGGTATGCATCCAATGAAGTGAGCTGTAACTCACGAAAGCTCATGCTCAAATAAATTGGTTAGTCTCTAAGGTGCCACAAGTACTCCTTTTCTTTAAGCTGCCACAAGTCCTCCTTTTCTTTTTAAAGGTCTTAATCACTCATTTTACTACATGCTAATGCCACCTGTTGGGGAAACGATGAACTAATTGAAAGATGAGCATCTTGATTGGCTGGTATCTTCTAGAACAAATATTGTTTGTATGCATAGCTTTAGTTGTATACCAGGCCATCAATGTACATGGTGGCTTACAAAGCACGTTAAACAAGTTAAAAGACACAGTCCCTGCGCCAAAGAGCTTGCAATCTAAACTGACTAGACAAACATATGGAAATTAACTTTGAAGGGAGTAGGGGTGGAAGAGGAGGGTTTACACCTCCTCTGCTGACACAAAGAGAAAAGATGGACAGCCATTAAGTTGCCTGAAGAATTGGCCTGCTGCTTCCTTAGCATAAGTGCTTTTAAAAATGACTTTTTTCTTGTATGGTTGCTGTGTGTTTGTTTTATTTGTTTAATTTCATTTTTATTTTCTTTTGTAACTGTTCAGTCTTGAATACCATTCACATTTAAGTGCTAACCTAACATCGCTGAACTTCATTGTGTTTTGCATTTTTTCTGAATTAAAATAACTCAGTTAAGTAATTTGGTTTTTTTGTAAGTAGGCATAAATGTCTAAGGCTAAGCTTATTGGAGACCATAAAGGCTTACTTTTTTTTGTTAGTGCTGTATTAAATTAATGCTTTAAAATATTTTACCATTTTTGACATTATTTGACAAAAGTTGACTGGTTATTTTTGGATGGTCAAATGCCCAAGCTAGTTGAGCTTGATAGCTAGAGGATCATATTTGTGTGCAAATTTGTGCATACAGAACCTGCTTTTGGTCACATTGCAGTCAATGGGAGTTCTGCTATTCATTGTGTACTGGATTTGGTACTTATGCAGCAACAACTGTAGAGTTATTGTCTGTCACATAAACAAGAATTGATAATTGGTTAAAAATAAATGTTGTATTAAAAAATTTAACCTGTAGACTGTGTGTTCTTTCCAGTATTTCTAGATTTAAAGTAGAAAATGAACTGGCAGATGAAGGTGAACTGATATTAACTATCAGTTTAAACATAGATGGCAGCTGACTGGGCGTGGCTGGGAGTGAGCGCCAGAAACTCCGAGAAGTAGGAGGGGGCCACTGGTGCTCGGATTGTGGCCCCACCACCTTCTCTGCCTCGAGGTCCCGCCCCTGCTCAGTCTCCTCCCCACAAAGCTGCTCCTGTACCAGGGGTGCTGGAACAATTTGTATAGTGGGGGTGCTGAGAGCCATTGAACCAAACTGCAAACCCGTCATATAATGGAAACCATTTCAAGCCAGGAAGTGCGGCAGCACCCCCCACACCCTGAGTTCCAGCACCTATGGCCTACATGCCACCTCTGCTCTGCCCTGAGGCCCCGCTCTTGCTTGGCTTCTTCCCCTGAGGTTCTGCCCCCACTCTGCCTCTTCCCACCTCTGCTCCACCTCTTCCCCTAAGGCCCCCCCTGCCCACTACCCTCTGCCCCCTCCCCTGAAACCCCCTGCCTGCCCGCCACTTATTCCTCTGCACCCCGTCCCTTGAGGTCCCCTGCCTGCTGCTTGCTCCTCTCTGCTCCCTCTCCCGAGTCCCCACACCTGCCCATCGCTCGTTTCTCTCTGCTCCCGATGCTCCCTCTGCCCACTGCTTGCTCTTTTTTTTATGCCCCCTCCTGCCTTAAGGGCGAGCGATGGGGTGTGAGGGGGTGTAGAGGAGCAAGCAGAGGGTGGGGCCTCAGGGGAAGAGGTGGAGCGGAGGCGGGAGGAGATGGCGCAAGGGCGGGGCTATGGGGAAAGAGGCCAAGTGGGGGCACGGCCTCAGGGCAGAGCACAGGCGGGGCCACGGTCTGGGCACTGGTGGCTCTCCACTTCTTGGGAGCTTCCAGCGGCAGCGCTCCAAAGGCGGCGGGCTGGCATGCCTCCTAAGGGAGCTGCGCCTCATCGGGCATTTCTTGCCCTATTTTGGGAGGCTTACCTTCTCCAAGCCTCTTATATCTGCCACCCATGAGCTCAAAGGAATTTATCCACAATTTGCATGCTACAACACAGATTCCAAAGAGTTTAAAGGAATTATAAAGGTTAATTTCAATGATAGTAATATAACTTAACTTACCTGAGACCATAGTTCGGCTTTAATTTTTTCAATCCGTTCTTTTACTTCTAATTCCTTTTTTTCACATTGTTCTTGTTGAAGATCTGCCCCAAGATCTATATATATTCAACAGAAATGGATCATGTGCAACATGTTACAAGTATAAAGAAACTGTAAACTGTCTCCTGCCCGTTTGCTTGATTTGATAGTTAAAAAAAATTAAAAAGATACACAATGTGAATCCTCGCTGCAGACAGTATTTATAATGTAAATATTAATACAGTGTCTTAAGTGTATGCACTGCTTTAAAAACAAGGACTCTGCTCAAGGAGCATACAGTCTAGGAACTTGATCTTATGAGGTGCTGTGGACCCACAATTCCCACTGATTGATGGCTATTTGGTGACCTATATGAAATAAATTTGGTGGTCTTAGTCTATTTCCTAGCCAACAAATGTTGACCTCACCCAGTCTACCACAACGGCTTGCGCTAATTCTCTCCATTGTCAGCCCACACAGTAGAAATAAGTGCTGAGTAGGCATTTGGACTCAACTGCCATCTCAATCCAGAAATTAATCCCTCCAAAAGAGAATTAAGGCACATTGATGGGGCAGTCTGGAGAGTCGACACTGTCACTACTAATACTGTATCCATTTTGTGGATAATAGAGGTTGCCAGACTCCAGGGTTGTCTAGCTCAGTATCTTTCAACAGCATCAAGTTCACTATAGCCATGCGAGTTTTAGAACCATGTGTATCAATATGTGCACCAAGGGTAACAACCACTCTACCAGAAGGACATATATAGGCCAAATCCACTCAGGCCACATCTACACTATGGGGATTATAGGGACATAGCTATGGTGCTGTAGCTATGCCGGCGTAACCCCACAGTATAGACACAGCCTACAGCGAGGGGCCGGTGATTCTGTCATTGTAGAAATGCCACCTCACCAAGCAACGGTGGATAGATCGACAAAAGCATTCTTCCATTGACCTAGCTGCGTCTCCACCGGGGATTAGGTTGGCATAGCTACGGTGCTCGGGTGGGGGATGGGGGTTGATTTTTCACATTCCTGAGCAGTACAGCTATGTTGACCTAAATTTTAAATGTAGATCAGACCTTAGGTTTTTTTTTCCTGCCTATCATCAAACCTGGGACTGTTGATATCTTAAAAGAAGTAGTATGTGAGTACATAGTTTAGTAACATATAGTTAATAAGAAATCATACTATATTATGTAATTTGTAGTTTCTGACTACTTAGGTGTGACTATTCTCCATGAATGGAATTTCACACAAGATATCATTTTTTATACTGAGAATACTGAGTTTTGAAAATTATCTCATCTTTTTCTGGCCTATGTGGGGAAAAGCGCAAAAGGGACTATATGGCTGATGTACTAGGCTACAAAGAATAGTACAGTGTACTGAAACTTGCTACAAGAAGGCACATTTCCATGACTGGCACATACATTAGGCATATAATTGCGCTAGGCTAGCTGCAATAATTCTGTTAATAAGCTTCACATAAATATGAGTGTGAATCTATGAAGGCAGTATATACAAAGAACATGAGTGAATGACAAGTAACTATCTTAGGCCCCATCTACACTGGCAAGTTTCTGCACAGTAAAGCAGCTTTCTGCGCTGTAACTCCCGAGGTGTACACACTGCCAAGCTACTTAGTGCGCAGAAACTGCACAGTTGTACCGCTCTAAAAAAACCACCCCGACGAGAGGCGTAGAGCTTCCTGTGCCATGGCTATGGACACCGTGGCGGTTACAGCGCTGTGATTCACCTCTGGGAGGTGTCCCACAATGCCTGTTCTCACCTCTCTGGTCATCGGTTTGAACTCTACTGCCCTGCCCTCAGGTGACCAACCATCATCCCCACCCCATACTTTCCTTTGCAAATTAGAAAGTCCCCCTACTGTTTGCTCAGTGATGCGTGCAGTGGTCTCAGCACATCTTTCCAGGTGGCCAGGCCTGCTCCACGCACCAGATAATCAGCCGCTTGGAGCAATGCCGAGCTGCTGGACCTCATCGGCATTTGGGGCAAGGAAGCTGTGCAGTCCCAGCTGCACTGCAGCTGTAGGAATTATGATAACTAAGGACAGATTTCATGATGCAGGATAGAAAGGGGCCATGACCGGGACACTCTGCAGTGTAGGGTCAAAGTGAAGGAGCTGCGGAACGCCTACCACTAGGCGGGGGAGGCAAACTGCTGCTCCGGTGCTGCGCCCACAAGCTGCTGGTTCTACAAAGAGCTGGATGTGATACTCGGTGGCGACCCCACCTCCACTGCAAAGGCCCCTGTGGATACTTCGTTGGCTCATGTGCCAGTCGCAAGTGGACCAAGCCAGGAGGAGGAAATCTTGGATGAAGAGTGGGAGGGGGGACCCAGAGGCAGAGGATGGCTCAGACACCTGAGATGCATGCAGTCAGGAGCTCTTTTCTACCCCGGAGGAGCCTAGCCAGTCACAGCAGTCGGAACTTGGCAAAGCGCAAACAGGAGAGGAGGCCCCTGGTGAATGGATCTGATTTTGGGAATTGCTGAAGCGATTTGTTTTGGGGGCAGGAGGGTTGCAGAAATCAGGCTTGTCTCCAACCGCATGCCTAGTCTGAGCGGCAGAACAGGTTGTTGATTGACTCCCTCACTTCACGGGAATCTCCCTCAAGGATCTCCAGGAAACTCTCGTGGAGATACTGGGCAATCCGCTGCCGCAGGTTCCTAGGCAGAGCTGCTTCGTTTCTTGCCCCATTAACAGTAACTGTCCCACGCCACTGTGCCCAGTATACAGCAGGGTCTGGGAAGAGTGATTCACCCTGCCGCTGCAGCTACTCACCATTTTAGGGGTCTTGTGGCTCTTGTGTGCTTGCCTGGAGTCAGTTAGTGACAGGTGTGAGAGTACTGGCTGTGTTTTAAAGCACTGAATCAGTGTTGTCTGTGTTGCAAACACAATACTGCTTCTGTAAAATGTTGCATTTAAACTTCACAGAGATGACCTTGGGAGGCCAGCCTCCCTTATCAGCAGCAGAACGGCTGTGCAGAATTAGAAAGCGCCACGAAGAAATAAGGAGGACTTTCTCTGTGAGGTTATGATGCACTCTGCCTCTGAGAAACAGGAATTGAAGGAGTGGTGGGACAGCAAGAAGAGGGACCAAAAGGAGAATGTGGGACACCAGAAAGAAGCCATGGAGTGGCTCTTAAACATTCTGGAGCACCAAGTGGACGCGCTCCAGGCGATACTAGCTCTTCAGACCAAGCAGCTCCGCTCCCGCCCTCCCCTGCAGCCGTTGTCACAAAACTCTTTCCCATGCACCCCCCTCACACCACCAACACACTATTATCAACCTCCTGATTCCACTTTCTACCCACAGCATTCCACTCCTCCCTCCTCACAGTCCAGCAGTGTGGACTCCCAATACCCACTGCACTCAACACCTATCCATCTGCAGTTTGGCCCTGCTGAAGTACAGCACCCGATGCATTGTTCTCCAAAGGAGAAGGTTGGGTATGATCCCTGGACATACAAAAATCTGTAGCCATCCCAGGACCCCTCCTCCTTTTGATGCCTTCCCTTCCCCCATCCCCTCCCTGCTGATAAATTTTTTCATTTGACTCCCTTCTCTGGTTGTTGTCTTTTAATAAAAGAATTGTGTTTGTTTGGAAGCAATCTTTATTTTATTAAGTGAAAGCAAAAAGAGCACTGCAAAACACATACAATTTTGTTAAAGCCTCTTCTTGCATCATGTGCACCAATCACCTCCTAGCATTACAAGCACTGCAATCCCAAGCATAGCAACCAATATTAGTGGCTTTCAGCCTCAAATTGCTGCCTCATGGCATCCCTGATCCTTATGGCCCCACACTGTGCCCCTCTGATAGCCTTTGTCTCTGGCTGTTCAAACTCAGCCTCCAGACATTGAGCCTCTGCGGTCCAGCCCTGAGTGAAGCTTTCACCCTTCCCTTCACAAATATTATGGAGCATACAGAACGTGGCTATAAGCATAGGAATATTGTCATCAGCCATGACCAGCTTCCCATACAGGCATCGCCAGCGGGCTTTTAAATGGCCAAATGCACACTCCACAGTCATTCTGCACTTGCTCAGCTTGTTGTTGAACTGCTTCTGGCTGCTGTCAAGTTGCCCCACGTACGGCTTCAAAAGCCATGGCATTAAGGGGTAGGCAGGGTCTCCAAGGATCACAATGGGGATTTTGACTTCCCCTACTGGGATTTTCTGGAAGAAAGTTCCTGCTTGCAGCTTCTTGAACAGGCCAGTGTTCTGAAAGATATTTGCATCTGGCACCTTTCCGGACCAGCCTGCATTAATGTCCGTGAAACGTCCACGGTGATCCACAAGCGCCAGGAGAACCATAGAGAAATACCCCTTGCGATGAATGTACTTGGTGGCTAGGTGGTCTGGTGCCAGAATTGGAATGTGTGTGCCATCTAGCACCCCTCTGCAGTTAGGGAAGCCCATTTGTGCAAAGCCATCCACAATGTCACACATGTTGCCCAGAGTCACAGTCTTTCAGAGCAGAATGTAATTAATAGCCCTGCACACTTCTGTCAACATGAGTCCAACGGTTGACTTTCCCTCTCCAAACTGGTTAGCGACTGATCGATAGCAGTCTGGAGTAGCCCACTTCCACAGTGCAATTGCCACGCACTTCTCCAACAACAGGGCAGCTCTCATTCTTATGTCCTAGCGCCACAGGGCTGGGATGAGCTCATCACACAGTCCCATGAATGTAGCTTTCCGCATGCGAAAGTTCTGCAGCCACTGCTCGTTATCCCAGACGTGCATCACGATGTGATCCCACCACTCAATGCTTATTTCCTGAGTCCAAAAGCTGCGTTCCACTGTGGTCAGCACCTCCGTGAAAGCCACAAGCAATCACGTGTCATAGTTACTGCACGTGGCAAGATCAATGTTGCACTCCTCTTGCCTTTGTAGTTTAAGGAATAACTCCACGGCCACTCGTGACGTGTGGGTCAGAGCGAGCAGCAGACTGGTCAGCAGTTCAGGATCCATTCCTGCAGCCTGAAAGAGGCAGGGTGTGCACTACACAAACCGTTGAAAGATGGCGCCAAATGTGGACGGAAGC